GTGGTAGCCGTCGATGATGTAGTAGTACCAGTATCGCTTGCCAGCCTCGAGGGTGGAGTTCTGGAACTTGAAGGTACCCTTCCATGCGGTGCCGGACTTGGAGGACTTGTCCTTAGCAAGGGGGAGCTGGCCGACGTAGTTGTCCCAAGAGCCGAGAAGGTGGACGGTCTTGACGCCAGAAGAGACGCGAAGAGAGAATGAGAGTTGGATGGAAGACATGTTGATTAGTGGGTATTAAAAGTTGTTGTGATTAGGGAGATGCTTTGTTGTAGGAGTTCTAGTGATTCTTGGGCAAAAGTGTAAAAATTGGTGTGTTGATCGCCAGCGAGCAAGTGAAATCCACAATTCTGTTTATTAGGGGGTATCAATTAAGATGTCGTGATGCGTAAAAAATGCAGAAAAAAAATTCAATGTAAAAATTATCTCGTCTCAAGCTGACCGGCAACTGAGATGTTTGATGGTGTAGTTGACGTGTGAAGGGTTTGTGTAAGTGAAGACGAGATGTGATATTAGAAGATAAAAAGGGAGACCAGCTCCAGAACAAAAAAAACAAACAAACAAGGGGGAAAAAACAGAAAGGTGGATTTGAGGTTGGCAGAACTTGCTGAGGAACAAGAAAAAAGAGAAACATCTCGACGGGTGTTGGCCGCCTTGATATACGTTTTGCGAAGCGCGGACCCGAGGGAGAGGCCGTCACGACACTTGGCCCGGCCATTGCCTAGACCAGGCCCCAAGAGGCAAGGGAAGTGAGCCGTGTCTGCAACCTCTTCGGCCGGCTGCCATGGGATGAGCAAATGAGCCATCGCGGCGGGCCAATAACGCGGCAAAGTCGCACACCAAGGCCGCTTCTGCATGCATCTCGGCGTCCGTCTCCTCTCACCCGGCAGGGGTCTGGGCGGTTAACCACCTTTAACCACTCATGTGTGGCGCCCATCCACAGCGCTGCCGGCGTCTAGATGCGGCGCTTCATTGGACTGCCGCCAGCAAGTCTCGTCACCTGCAGAGCCGGAGGAGGGGCCTCTGCCTGCTGTGACTGGCTCGTGGTCTGATTGCAGCCGTAATTACGCACGCTGGTGTCCTTTTGGTGCCCTTTTGGTGCGCTCCCGAGCTGGCCGTGATTCGTTGGAGCGCTTGCGGGTGGACCGAGGTAGCATCGACAAAGTGCAAATAGGCGAACAAACAAACAAACAACCAAGCTAAAACTGCAGACGCAGCTTTTTGATCACACAATGGCGGTGGATACAAGCCCGAGTAGCAAGGCTTCACTTGCTTCATAGCCGCTTGTCGATAGAGGCCGATATGCATCTAACCAGTCGTATGCTCTGCTCTGCTCTGCTTGGCGATAGATGACCCCTGTTGTTGAAGTCAGTATGGGTCATTTCGATGTCTCGACAAGGCAGTTAGAGAGCAATAGGACTCTACATATGCTTAGTTGATTGATTGAATGATGAACTCGTGAGGAGCTGACATCACATGTCCGTTTCCAAAGTTGGCTCCAGGGTATCTTCATGCCACCCAATTGACCCCAGAATGGTTGCCATGAACAGCCTTGCAAGACCATAGTGAAGCCAATATTCCAACCTTCAAAGATCCAGCTTCTCACGTAGCAAACAAACTCTGAAAAAAAAAATCGGGCCGAGTGTAAAAAAGACAGATGCTGATTAATGAATAGCTAAATATATTCCGAGAGATGATGCCTGTAGTAATCACGGCTTCCTTATCCCATCTGTTGTACGCCCTGGTATATCTTTCTTCCGGTTGCAGGTGTCGACATCGAGGTCGATTTGATTCGTCCCAATCGTGGAATTTCCCCTGAGAAATATCCGTGTGATAGTCCGTACAGCTTCCCATTCCTCCCATCCCAGCAGCAAGTCAAGCCTCAGCGCCTAGTGTCCAACGCTCAGCGGAAGAGTCTGCGTCTTTTTTCTCATGTATCCCCTCTTCAATCCTCCATTCTAGTATCTCCACCGCTCTCCTTCTGGTCGGCCCCGCGGATGTAAAGAACGTTGTTGCACCTATACCATAATCGTTAAAAACCCATGAACAAAACCGACACAGAAAAGCGCGTCCTACCTGATCAGAACTTGGCCCAGCTCGCCCGTCAGCTTGTCGTTTAGGTATTCCTCCGTGTTGGACAGCTGCAGGTTCATGTAGCTGTCGATGGACTAGAAGTAGCAAGGCGCAATTAGCATTATCCAGGGGGAACCACCTCGAACTCGTCTCCGGGCTCTACTCACCACCAATCTGCCCTTGTACTCCGTCTCTCCCCACTTTAGGCGGACGAGGACCGTCTTGTCGACGAGATCTTGCAGCATAGGCCGCGGGTTGACCGGCACGAAGCTCATTTTGTCTGCTGGTGTCGGGCGTTGGGGTTTGAAAGAGAGGCACGCTATCACAAGGCTGAAAGTTTCGTGACGAGATGCCAGACAAAGACCAGACCGCCCCACCAAGCTCAGGCCCGGCTGATTCTCGGCTGCTAGAGCTTTAGCTGCCTGCGTTGGGAAAGTGCATTATGCAGGTTATTGTTATAACCCCGATAGTAACATGTTTCCTTCAAATACCAAAACACCTTGATCCCTGTCCGTCTCCAGCCGCACTTGGTCACATCACACTCAACACCCGGTAAAAGCAGGCTTCCACCTCATGGCTAGGCCTTCAGACGGGCCTTCAGCGGCCGCCAAACGAGACCAACCACGGCATCATCCGCATCTCCCCGTCGAGGCCGCATGAAAAGCGACCAACGTGTAGTGTAAGCGTGATGGGATATACCAAGTATCGATAGCTCATGACGGCACGATAACATGGATCATGATATGTCTCTCATGGCCTCCGTCGCAATGCCCGCAGCTAGAATCAACTAGTTTGCCCTTGACGGCGTTTAGTTTCTCTCTACCAAGGCAACAAGGCAGGACACAGGCGAAGGACTCCGCACCATCCTCACGGACAGAGAGGCATCACCGCATCCTTCCTCCTGCGGCCGATCAAGGCGACCGCCCGACTAAAGCAGAGTGGCTTTGCACATGTCTTGTGTCTTGTGTCTTGTGCTCCCGTGCAGCATCTCCCTTGCATATTCCCCCTCTCCTCTTCTGTGTCCTACCAGGATGATGATTCATTCAACGTTTTCTGGTAATTTGGTGGCCATAATTTCCATTAAGCAGATGCATATAACTAGGTGTGACATGTCTCTAGCGCCGGCGGCAAAAGGCCTGCCATGACGGACTTATAACTGGTACGTGCAGATGTACAAAACATTGTTTCAATGGCCCACTCGATGTCTCTCCACATCGGCAAGGATAACAGGTTAATGCCTGCACCGACACCAAGAACACCGAAGAACATACGAGGGCTCATCGGTGCCGCCAACTTGCTCAATATAGCAACCAAAATCCTCTCCACAGGCATTGTTCCGACAATATTGCCTCTCGCACATCATCGTAACCACTCTGCCGATATTCGCAATGACGCGGCCAGTCTTGGCTTCGGCAGCCTGGGTCTGAGCCTGGACCTCTACCTGTCGTGTCTGGGCTGCCACTTGCTCCTGGCGGATAATTTGAAGTTGCTCTTGTTTAGACGCTTCCAATTTATGGGCATGGTAGCGCAGGATATCGGCAGCAAAGTCACCAACCAAGTCGGCCAGCTGGGGGGAAGCAATCAGCTCTTCTAGATGCTGCGCTGCCAGAAGTGCCATCATGCCATGCAGCTTTTTGTCACCAGTGTTGTCGAGAGCCTCCTTCGCTGAAGTAAGAAAGGCCTTAGCATCCCACTTGGCCTGGTATGCCTGCTGAATCTTTTGGTTGGCAAGCAGCGTGAGACCTTGAATGCCGTAGTAATCCGCAATTGCATTTACTCGCACATGAATCAGCGTGTCTGGAGTGCTTGCAGCAGCAACAGGCACTGGGAGGGCTGCGCTTGTTGTCTTTGGGGCTGGACCGCTTGTACTTTTCGCAGGTGTAACATCTTGAATACTACCAACTAGTACAGGTACAGGTTAGAATCACCAACTGGTACTTTGTCCCGGTCTACGACATGAACCAACCTGTGTAATTCTGAGTTGGGGGTTTTGGGGGTTGGTTGGGGTCATAATTTCCCGTGTAGAGATACTCAACCATGCGCCTCACCGTCTCGCTGTCGAAGAGCTCAATCTGGACGACGCCTGTCTGGCTCTCCTGCATCCAGATTTAGTGTCTGTTCTACTCCGTACGAAATACCGGCCTGTGTGCCTCCCTGCTTACCTTGAACTCTCCACTGACGGCGGCAGAAAGCACAGGTGACTGTGGGCAGGCAACAACTTTGTGAATTTTGAATTCTTTGCCCTCACAAACCAGCGTCAGGTCGGAAAACTGCCCCGAACGCAGCATCGTCTTGAAGTCGACTCCCGCGTGAACTGCCGCCATGATGATCATTCAGGCTTTAAGCGAGTTAAACGAGTGGCTGCCCGCTAGATCGAAGATGGCCTGTGGTGGCATGGGTGGAGATGGATGAATCGCTTGCCACTTGGAGTTTGTGCTCCACCTGAGATCGGGAGAGCAAATCTGAGTGGTGACTAAGCATAACGGTAGCCGGAGTTATTCCGGGCTGCTATTTGACATGGAGTTGAGAATAACGGCAAATAATGTGCATGATGGTGGAGTTTAGGGGAAGATAATATTTAAGAAAATCTTCCCATTGTAGTATTTTGAGCAGAAAGTTTGGAGAGATAATTCGTCGATTACGTTACCACGTAGATGGAATGCCACTGTAAATGGCAGCCAACACGGCATGGTTGACTGGATAAGCTTTGGCCGTGAGACAGCTATTTCCATCTACTAGATCTGGGCTGACTTTACAATGCAAAATAACCTCTTCATTGTACGATTATATTACAGGGATATTTCATCTTGAAAATGCACGATGCAGCGTCATTTTCACTGTAAAACCCAACTCGAAATACGAACGGTCGATAGGAGAGAAAACGAAGTCACGTGGGCCATCGCCGGCTGACTCACTTCGGTGGACAAACACTGCAGCCTGTCTTTGCATTCACTCGGCGAGCCCAAACAAGCAAAAAACGCAGCATCAGCCATTGCATCAGCCTCAGTCCTCCATGTATATAATTCAGCATTCATCCGTCCCTGGCCATGGAGAGTGAATATATTCTAACATTGAGTTGGCAGACATTGGAGATTTGGTCTAGTTGTGACTTAACAAGCTGGTGATTTGGACAAGTCCATCTTTGCAAAAAGCAAGACTTTGGCTGAGAGGAAACATCGTGTTATCTAAATAAAAAGAACAAGAACAAAAAAGAAAAAAGACACATCCTCTACCACCGGCAGAGGGGATTCAAAAGCCACTCACACATAGAGATTTCACAGTCTGCATTGCCAGTGTCAATCATGAGCTCCCCTCTCACCGTGGATCCGGCGCTCATTGCCAAAGTGACCGACTACATCAAGGTCTATATGGCCAACTATGACCCTTCGCACGACTACAGCCACATCAAGCGCGTGGTGCACCTTGCGCAGACGATTCAGGCCCAAGTGCCCAACACGAACCGCGACATTGTCACCCTTGCGGCTCTCATGCACGACGTAGGCGACAGGAAGTACCTCAAGCCCGGAGAAGACGCCTCACGCATGATCTATACGGCGCTCACGTCTCTCGGTGCGTCGGAGGAATTGGCGGAGAAGATTCAGGTCATCTGTCTGGGCGTGAGCTACTCGAGCGAGATCAAGGACCTGGCACGTGTACGGGAACTTATTGAACAACACCCGGAACTTGCCGTTGTGCAGGATGCTGATCGACTGGACGCCATTGGAGCGGTGGGCATTGGACGAGTATTTGCGTTTGGCGGAGCCAAGGGGAGGGGCTTGGGGGATTCGATTGACCATTTTGAGGAGAAGCTGCTTAAGCTGGAGACTATGATGAAGACGGATGTGGGGAGGGAGATGGCGAGGGAGAGGACGGAGAGGTTGAGGCTGATGCAAGAGTGGTGGAAACAGGAGACGGAGGGGGTTGAGTAGGCGGGTTTTAGAGTATGGACATTGAGAGTCGAAATGAATAGAGGATAGAAGACATTGCTGCTGTATAGAGTTTATGTTGTATAGATTGTCAATGATGATGATTCCGAATACGTATCTTACCTTAGTAACTTGATATACTTCAAATGCGTATAGCTCTAGCCAGTTACCTACACATATTGTCACATCAACTGAGCCTGATTCCTTTCCCCACGAAGGGAATTCGCCTCCCCCAATTTGGGGTATTATTATCGAGCTTTCCACTACAGCCAGACTATCTACATCATGACCATAACTGAAATCATGAGTTATTCGCATAGTCATGGCTTTAACAAGGAGCACTTTGATCTGGTCAGCCGATGACTTGAGTCTACAGAGCAAAGAAGAATACAACCGAGGTCCTATCCGGGGGGTTCTACCCGACGGTTCATCTGGCAGTTCATTTGGCAACAAGATCGGCTCAAGTATATAACGTTATGGATCCGGCGGGTATGCTCCCCACGAGCACCTGATCATCTCCTCCATCAATTCCGAGTTCAGTTCCGAGCTCAATGCCTATAATGACAACATCCATGGATACTTCAAACCGCACTCCCGGATGCTCTGGCAACTAGCTACTGCATCCATTCTTCCCCTGCACAACACCCGCATGATTAAGCCTCGACAAATAAAACGGTCATCCGCCTACAGGTTGCCAAAGTTCCCACTTAGCCGGACATAACACAGCCTGGCACACCCACTAAAACGGCGTTCAAGCCAGATTCTGCGGAGTAGTGGATCTCGCCTCGCCATTGTTCGTCCGTCTGGGGGCGGAATCGTCCTCTGATTGACGGACGTATTTGATGCAACCTGCCCCCAATGTGCCTCGATTGAGTAAAGAGAGATTGCAATGACAGAGCGTGGATGCGTCGCTAAGCCCTACTCAATGTCCAATGCGGTTTGCTATCTTTGCGTTCAGCTAGGTACAGGGAATTAGATAGGTATCAGCTGGAAGTGAAGTGCTGCCACGTAGGTATTACTGTGGCTTCAAGCAAGGGGAACTGCAGCCAAAACATCAACCTAGGTACATGCAATTTCCATCGCCGTGATATTCCTTGCGTGCTTGGCACCATTCAACAACGCATGTCCAGGCCAGCAGGACACTTTTACGAGTCATTCATTTCACATGCCACGTAGCGATCATCATCACCAGTCACATATAGAAAAAAAAGACATGCGATTTCTAACACGTTAAGTTCGCGCAAACCTTCCGAATGCGGTTCCCCTCCAAATCGCACTCGGATCGACCTTGGGGATCCCTTAGTTCGAGAATTCTCCCCCGGCTTTTTTCTTTCAAGCCACGCGCTGTTTCGTCCGAGAACCGGCGAAGGCGGCGTTTTTGCCGCAGAGGCTAGAATTCCTATTGTAGTTCTATTTGGAATTGGAAACAAAGTGAACTCGTGATGGTCCTCTGTTGGGTGAAAAAAAGATTAGCCGTTATTTGCAGTTGGATTCGACCCGCATCACGTCCAGCATGCCGAAATAGACAACCACCAACAACACAGCCCAATTCGCAATCTTTCCTACCTACACGCCCTCCCCCACTACTCTCCTGACTGCATTTGTTCTATCGAGAGGTTGATCCAATAGCAAATGTGTGACATGCGCGTTTTGGCTTTTTTCGTCCCGGATTTTAATACAAATAGAAAAAAAAATAGCCGCCTCTCAGCAGTTCCACGTAAGGCATGTAAGACAAAATAGGGACCCACGCCCTTATTAGCTAATTAGGCCCGCGTGTCAGCAAAACCTCGGAATCTTTTACGTGTGGTTGGGAGTGGGAGGCCAACATTTATTTCTAACTGGAATTCCGGTCAGCCCTAAGGAGGCTTGCACATGGCTTTGGCTTGGGTCCAGTCCGTCCTGACTCAGCCCATTCCGAGTCCGAGTCCGCTGTCCGCCGCGGGAGCGGGCATGAATTGTGCGAGTTTAATGGACAACTCGCACTCGCACTTCTCTTTTCGGACACTAGATTTAGTTTAAGGCGGTCTCACGTCAGGATGCGAACTTGAGCAAGCCCCCCGAGGTAGTTTCTCAGGGGCGACAACAAAAGGGGGGGATGGGCACAGAGATCCAGGCTCTTGGCAGATAAGAGTCAGCCCGGGATGGCTCCTCCGCAAAAACGATGAAATGGATCTGCGTGGGATCCGGGTCCCGGCAACTTGCTGTGTGATTGGGTTGTTTGGGGAGGGGGGCGTGTGTGAACCTTGAGGGCGAAGCTTGAGGGTAAAGCTCACGAGGTGGCTTTTGGGAGCACAGGTATATATCTGGCCGTGTTTCCTCGCTGTTGGTTGACTTGGTTTGGCCTATTCTTCTTTTCTTCCCTTTTCACGATCGTATGGTTTTAATGATGTTGTGAAATCACCGTTACTTTATACTACCAATAGTAGAGACGCATATCAGCCTTACACGAACAACGAATTGCAGCACATGTCCATCACACACAATCACACGATACACACTTAAACCATCACGAAGGACGACATACTACATACATAAATCGTCTCACTTACTCAAAACACACACGATATCCTCTTTACAATAATACATACAACCTCATCTTGATACCCAACCTCACCCACAAACAAAATGAACTCCCTCCCCTTCGAACTCGTCTCCCAAATCCTCACCAACCTCCCCCCCTCCTCCTACAAATCCGCCCGCCTCACCTGCCAAGCCTTCAACGCCGCCCTCGCAAAGCCAACATTCACCACCCTCGCCACATTCATCGACCCAAACACCGCCCAGCAAACCATAGAAAAACTCGCCGCCGACCTCAACCGCCGGCCGAAAGCCATCTGGTCCCCCGGGTGCTCCGTGCCTCGGGGGCTGCCCGTCCCGGAAAGCTTCCTCTTCGCTATGCATGTCGCGCTGCGCGGCACGCCGTGTCCCAGCCCGGCGACATCAAGGACCTCGTCTGTGTCGTCGGCGGCGTGGAGCGATGGCGAGGATAGTGATGTTGTTTCTGAGGCGGATAGCGTGACGGCGTGGAACTTTGGGAGCACGGTTGGGATGGATGATGTTACGGAGGAGACGCTGCGGCAGGCATTGTTTCGGTATTCGTTGTATTTGAGTTACATCTATGATGGGGAGGGCGAGGCGCCGCAGCTGTGGGTGATGAATTCGAAGAAATGGGCGCAGCAGCGATGACTACATGTATTGGTTTTGGTTCTTTTTGTTTTACAGCGACAGACATGCGTTGATATATCCCATGCTATACATTTTATAATAAGACATAAATTCACTGCGAGATATAGTTTATACTACGCTTTACATATTAATGACATATCAATCAAGACAAGGCACGAGAAGAGACACAATAGGATTTCGTGAAAGTAATAATATTTCCATTGCCAAGGCATGCACCTCGCACATGCTAAAAGGTATAATGCGTGTTCCGCGTGTGTATCCCCCTTCCATCGTACTTCAGTATCTAATAAAATAAAAAAGCAAACTCCCGATCCAAAAGATTAACTTCCCAAGGTATAATAAATCTCCCCTCCAATCTTTGTCTTCTTTCTTCTTTTTTTCTTTTGCTACCATGTTATATACAACCCTTCGCAAATGAATAGAAAAAGAGAGCATGACCAAGTCAGGCGTGGGCGACATCCCAATTCCCCTTCCGTAATCATCGACATTAAAGTTTCTCGTTTTTCCCTGTCATCGCCAGACATTTCATAGAATCATGCTCAAACTCATGAGATTTTTGAAATCAGTCGTAAACGTTATTTCACTTGACAGATCAAGGAAGATGGGCCGCTCGCTTAGAGGAAAGCAGCGGCAACGAGACCCATGATGGCCAGAGCGCCGGTGGCGCGGTTGGCGACAGCGGCGTTGGTGGGGATGGTGCTGGGGCCAGTAGAGGTAGGTCCAACGGGGGTGTTGGTACCAGAGGGACCAGTGGGAGCAGTGCCGTTGTTGGCAGGGGGAGGAGGAGGAACACCAGTGCCAACAGGACCAGCGGGAGTGGTCGTGATGACGACGGGAGGACCAGCAGGAGTGGTGGTGGGAGTACCGGGGAGAGTAGTGCAGGGAACAGTGGTGGTGACGGTTCCGTTGACAACAGTGGTGTAGATAACGCTGGCGCTGGCGCTGCCAGTAGGGCCAACAGTGCTCAGGGTGGTGGCAGGAGCAGAGGTGGCGGAGGCAGTGAAGCTAGGAGTGCACTGAGAAGCAGCCAGGGTGAATGAAGAAGGCTGAGCGTAGACGACGCACTGGTGATGATGTTAGCTTCAGGTTCATCTTGTGGCAGTGTCATGTATTGTAAGAGGATCACTTACGTTCTTCTGGCAAGCAGCGTCACCAGAGGTCTCGGTGCTCTGCCAGCACTCAGCAACACCGCCCAGAGGAGGGTATCCGGCAACGTTGTCGGAGCAGCGGCCGGCAGTGCCGACGCCGTTGGCATCGCAGCGAACAATGATATCGCCGCCATAGCAGTAGTTGGCGTTGGGCTTGGCGCAGGTCACCTTGTTGGTGCCCTCGGGGGGAGCCTGAGCGCTGACGAGAGCGGCGGTGACGGCGACGATGATGGCAGAGGTCTTCATTTTGAATGTAATTTGTTGGTTTTTCTGTTTTTATAATAGGTAAAAACGGAGGTGAGGGTGATATTAAGATATTAGGCGGACGTAAATATTTGGTTCGTTGAACGAGAGTACAGCAGAAGCTGAGCGTAACTAGCGAGTGTAGTAGTTGATGGGATGGACCAGAAACAGAGGAAAAGAGGTGTGCGGCGGACACGACATGATATTATATATGCAGTCCGTCTGGATGTGCCTTTGATACGAGGTTGTCTTGTCCCAGCAACCCAAACAAGGCACATGCAGGGAGGCGGCCAGGGTCCCTCGACTGCCGGGTTCCCAAGTACAGGTACCAGCGCTGGTACCTGCACAAAGAGGTTAGCGGCCGCCGAGTGACAAGCCGCTCGTGTGCGCCGATCCCTCTTGGCTGAGGTATGCAAAGTTGCCTCGTTGCGGCCGGTTGTATCGCGCGAGTACTCGGTACTGGCCAACGAGCACTCGTATCACCGCTAGCCCGTCGAGATGGACCCTCGCAGGTGCAAAAGAACAACTCAGGCGTGACGATGAGGGCCGGGGGGAGTCCAGTCCAGACGCAACAGCAGTAGCTCTTCGTATACAAGCACCACCAGCACCAGCTCCAGCAACCAGCAGAGGCAGCGGAAAGGGAGCTTGCAGCGCAGTCGGGGCCCAACCATGACGGTGCTAACCAGGGGTCCTGTCTAGCGTCGTCCCACAGCAGCCCGTCGCTGGGTACTGGAGTGGTACGAGTACCTGGCCCATACTTGGCCGACAGTCCGCAGGGCGCGGCGCCCGGTGGCGGCGGCTGTACTCGGAGGTAGCGCTACCTGGCCAGCCACTCGTGGCTCCAAGGCCAGCAAGAGATTCTTGAGGCGCCAAGCAAAGAATCCAGGCGTGTACTGCGGCAACGTGGTGCAGCGCCCGGCGCCACACAATGCCAACCAGCACAGAAATTGAGTGAGAAGAAGTGAGAAGAGCAGAGAAACAAAAAATGGCGAGACACAGAGCAATACGAGCTTTCCTGGCGCTCGATTCGCTGGACGAGAACCCAAGTGTGGCTAGTAGCAGTGGTTGTGCCTTCCCCCGTTTTTTCTTTCTTTTCCCCTCACAGCTGACTGGTTCTGAGACACAATGGCCTAAGCCCCTTTGGGCAGGATGACTGCAATAGCGCATGTTCATTGGACAATAAGACGTCATAGCGCCGCAACGCCCCCATTCACCAACTCCACGTTTTTCGCGGTCTCCAGGCAGGTGGTTGGTACTCGTACGTCTACGTCGGTACGTACCCGCAAGCCGCACGGAGAATCTGCTTCGGCTTTTGCTCATCGCTCAGCTTTACGAGGGAAAACCAGACGCAACGTTTCGCCGTACAGATACAGTGCGTGTACAGGCACAGCCACACACTGTTTCCCACCCTTATGTCCCAGCCTTACCCGGAATTCGTCGCGCGAACCGCTCGCCCTACGCACTGTGTTCCATGGAAAATAGTCGTCCAGATGGCAAAAAAGCTACAGTACAAGATTCATCAAAATCAAGGTGGAATTTGCAAAAAAGGGCTCAGCTCACCCACATCGACGAATGGTGACGCCATGGGTTTTCCAAAAAAAGACATTTGCCTTTTTTCCCACGCACTACAAGGCGAAGCCAAGCCGAGTCCAGTGGCAAGGTCGAGCCCAAACCAGGCGCAAACGTGCCCTCGTATCGTTCCATTTCGAGCAAGGCGAGCTTTCGACTATGATGCACCCGTACCAATAGCGCGGCGGTGATTGATGGGACAGGAATGAAAAAAAGGCCTGGGCGAGAGGAAGAGAGAGAGAAAAGATGTTACGATCACATGGGTCTTGCTGTCACCTCGAGGTGCGGCGGCAATGCAATGCTTGTCTGAATCACTCATTTACAGGCAATACACGATACGAGCGTAAGAGCGTATATATCGTACTACCTAATGTACAAGTACTCTCGAGGAAATTTCCATTGACGGGAAGCTGTACACGGCATAGGATCCCATCGGTGATATCACTTTGTAATCGCCTTCCCTTCTTTGATCGCCCAGTCAGACTCTTAATGCTTAGGGCCAAAAAAGCTGTCTTTCTGAGGCGTCCAGCGTATAGCTTTTATGGGGGTCGGCGGGCATGGATCCCGCTTACAGCAGCTTGAATTCCCTCCGACATGCCGCCGCCCTCGATATTAATTTTTGCATTGACGGCTATATGGCACCTTGTGCTTGTATGTTGCGTTTAGGCGAGAAACGGTTCACTGCTGGAACTTGAGCTGGGGAAATTTTTCCTGTGATTCATTTCTTTCGTTTTTCTTCTACTTCTTCTCCTTCGCGGGATCTTGCTGGGACGGCCCGTCAAGAGGCGGTGATGTGATATCACAGCACGGCACAGAACAACGCAGGGTCCACCCTTTTTCCGGACAACAAAAACGGTGTGCAAAAAGCCCAGACTCCATCCAACAATATGCGTCTAAGACATTTACGCAGGAACAAGAGACCAGATAAGACATGATAGTGAGTCAATGGTAGTACGAGCAAACTCGTAAAAGAATAGACACACACACACACACACACACACGAGAGAGAGAGAGAGAGAAAAGACACGCACACACACCACCAAGTGTTTTACCTCCAATCGCTAAAATACGACGGCGCCCAACTGGAATAGTCAGGTGAAGGCTATAATTGACCCGAAGGAATGAACCAGGCCGGGTTAATGGGCTCTCTCTCTTTCTTTTTTTCGCGCTCGCTCGCTCTGCTCTGATACAGTGTCCTCTCCCTCGTATTCCAAAAATAATAGGGGGTAGCAAATGGCAGCCCGGCAAGGGCACTTTAGATTGAGCTTAGGCTTGGCTTTCCACTAGCCCTCCTCGTGCAGGAGTCACCACTACTCCAAAAAGGCGGGCTGTCAACGCCCGCACATAGGTATCGGGTACCTTTTTGTGTGATACCATGGGCGGCACGTCCGAGTAATGTCAAAAATGCAGATGCGACTCTGGCTATGCACTGCTTTTCATGCAATACTACTTTGTGCTTTTTAAATAGATTCTGCTTATTACCTACGGCGCAGTAAAAAATCAGATGACAAAAAAGGGAAGCCGTAGATCCGATTTCTCGTCGGCCCGTAAAAAAAAGACAAGTCTGGAGAAAGGGCCGGATCGGATGAGGAACATCACCAGATGGACAAAAAATCACAAGGTCGGCGAGCTAGCCCTGCAGCATCAGTTTTTTCTTTCCCTACAGCGCATCGATGGTGCCATTTGGGAACATGTACAGGTACAGGGCAAATGCAGACCGATATCCTATTCCCGCCAACCAAACGGCTTCCCGGATGTCGCCGTCGCGACGGGGTCTCCTTGTCCACAAACCAGGGGGGACCATCAGCTTAGCTAGAACTTCTGCTTCTGCTTCTTTTCCTGACTCGGGCAGGATGAGCAAATCGCCCTCCTTCCTGTCTGAATAAGGGGCAAGAAGATTGTAATCAGACCAGCTGTACGGAGTACTTATGGGCGTTAATCTGTATACAAGGTGATGCTTTATTACCCCATACTATGTCTTTCGGGCCATCCCTGGTCAAGGAGATTTCTCTCCGCGTGGTCTTTTGCTTCGCCGATCTGCTTCACCGCGATCTGGCGAATAGGGAGAGACAAAAACAAACAAATAAACACTCATCCACTGCTCCGTACGATAGTCTTTTTTTTTTCTTGCCCCTGGCTAATTCCGATATCCCGTTCTTTTTTGTATTCCACATGCTTCTCCATCTATCTCTTCTCTTCTCGGACAGAGTGCCTCGCCTGCTTATCTCCCCATCGTATTCACTAGCCGCCGTATATTGAACCCCCCTCCTTAGAAAGACAGCTTCTCGTGCTTCCATGGCCTCTGTCCCTCGCCCTCGCCGTATCCAGTCGTTGGCTGGTAATCTCCCCGAATCTTGTATTTGTAAATCGTGAGCCCGTCCAGGCCCACCGGTCCACGCGAGTGGATCTTGTTGGTGCTGATTCCGACTTCTGTTCCGAAGCCGTAGCGCATGCCGTCCGCCAGTCGCGTTGAGGCGTTCCAGTATACGCCGGCCGAGTCCACTTGGTTCATAAAGTGCTCGGCCTCGGCCTCGTTCGAGGTGAAGATGGAGTCTGTGTGGTGGGAGCCGTGAGTGTTGATGTGGGCAATGGCTTCCTCCACGGTGGATACGGTCTTGACGGCCAAGGTGAGATTGAGGTGTTCCGTGTCGTAGTCCTCGGGAGTAGCATCCAGAACAGTGCCATCTGGGAGCGTAGTCGATGAGAGGGCAGCTTTGCTAGGTTCATCGAGGCGGAGTGTTACGCCTTTCAAAGCCAGGGCAAAAGCCACGTCGGGCCAGATGGTGTCGAGGGCTTTGTCCTGGACAAGCAGCGTCTCCAAACTGTTGCAAGCAGCAGGGTAGCTCGTCTTGGAGTCGACGATGGCGATGGCAGATTTCTCCTTGTCTGCCGTGGCAGTGAGATAGATGCTGCAGAGACCGTCGGCATGACCCAGGACGGGAATCTTTGTGTTTTCCTTGATGTAGCGAACAAGATCGTTGGATCCACGGGGAATGACCAGGTCGATGCTCCGGTCCTGGCTTAGAAGCTGGAGAATGACATCGCGAGTTGTAACGAGCTGGATGGCCGAGTTGGGGACCTGAGTTGTGGAGAGGGCGGAGGAGATGACTTGTGAGATGGCAATGAAGGATTCTGTGGATTCCTTGCCTCCTGTTGCGAGATGATATATGAGTAAGTTATCTAGTATAATAGGGTAGTGAGAGACGGATAGATGGATGCCTACCCTTGAGAATAGCAGCATTGCCGGATTTGATCGCCAGACTGGCAATATTGGCAATAACCTCGGGACGTGCCTCAAAGATGATGAGGAGGACGCCAATGGGGCATGATACCCGCTCGAGAATGAGGCCGTCATCGAGCTTTGTCCGCAGCTGTACCTTGCCGACTGGTGGCGAGAAAAAGTGTATGTTAGCATTTTGAAGTAATTTGTAAGTCGTATACAGCTAAGAGGAAAATTTCACTTGAGATGACAAGTCCTCAAGCAGAAGCAGAGAAGAGGGGTAAAAAGAATAACACAATGATCACGCAAGTACGGAAACATCATCATCATTATCTCACACATACCTGGATCTTCCAAGTCTCTCACATCCAATATCCCCTGCAGCATATCCTCCCACTTGCCCTTCTTCCCCAGATCCAGCCTCGACACAAGCGCCTGCGACAGCTGTCCATCTGCCGCCGCCTTCCGCGCAAGCTCCAGATCGCGCGCATTAGCCGCCAATATCTCGTCCTTGGAAGCCGTCAGAGCCGCGTGGATGGCCTCGAGAGCCTCGTTGCGGGCTGATGCCGGGAGTGAGGCGAGGGTGAAGGAGGCGGTTTTGGCGGCCGTGGCGGCGGCCTCGGGGGAGCCGTTTGTGAGGGACATTGTCCTGGTGATTTCGGCTTTTTTACTCTTCTGTCTCCTTTTCTCTGTCACTAGATGCCGTTTCTATATGTGAATTGTTTGGTTGAAATGAGCGTCGAGGTGAGGTTTGAGCATGAGATGAGTTCTCTGATTATGAGATCAGCCGGCTTAGGCACAGTCAGATCTGATTTTCATGCTCCGATCGGGGCCCACGCATTGCATTGCCTAGTCCAGTAATCGCTGTGGCGACCGTCACCCAAAGCGCCACTCACTGCATTACAAATAAAAATATCTGATTCATCCTGTAAATATTTCAATTGCATCTTAAACATCACTTTGAAACCGACTTGAGCTTTTATTTGGTCTTGTTTTTTTATGCTCGTATATTTTTCTTGGGTTGATGCGTGTAACACACCCAAACGTTTCCGATATCGCACCCTTGAGATTTTGGCGAGGTCGAAGCCTAACAATTTTCTGCAGCCCTATATCTAGGTAGTTTCAAATCAACGACGGTCAAATATTGCCCCTAATTGCACTCTTGATGGCCCTCAATCTTCTCTCTCTGAGATATTAACATGTCCCTATATCTCCTCATGTATATCATCTGGCAAATAACCCACAGTTAATCCTACCGTAATGGGCGATCAGTCTTGAAATAACAACATCTTGGCGCCGTCTGTCTCTCTTTTCCCCCTAACTAACGCGGGCTAAGTACATGTATGAACCCCAAGAACCCCGCCCTGCTCCTAGAGGGGAGATTTTTCATTATAGCTCGGGTGTTCTTCTCGATCCTCTTCTTCCTCATTTTCTACTTCTCTCGCCCACCGAGACATCTCAGCGTAGTTATCGTCATAGTACATTGCCGACGATGTTTCGACTTCATAGCCGTTGTCGTCATCATCATCATCGAAATCCGACAAATCGCTTGGTTCGGCTGCTCCGCAGATTGCGGCAACGCGAAGAAGGTCCCATGACAACTGCAAAAATTCCATATTCGGAATATGATCTGGAATCTTCGCAGTAAGATTAAAAACTTGCCCTGTCTGCAACGGCAAGCCACTTTGACGATGAGCGGTAATGGTTCCCCAAGACTGATTTTCTCCGATTCCAGCTGAATCAACCGCATTTTGGATTTTCATATTTTTATTGAACACTTGCGTCGGTTTCAGTTCGCTTGTCTTTAGCCAGTGAAGTTGGACTTGGACCGTGCCGTCGTCGAGCTTGCGTAATGGCTTAAGCGCCATCATACCCTTATCAAACCAATGATGGAGTTGGTGGTTGAGAGAGAGGAGATTCTGCGGAGTCTCGGTGATATCTTGATTGAGAAATATATCAGAAAACCGCGTGGCTGTGTCGTTACCCCAAAATGTACGTAGAGTAGACACAATATTGGGTATTTTCGAGCCCTTGGATCCTGAAAAGGGGAAGATATGGGCCGCTTGCGGGTCTTGCATGCCTGTGAATATGCACTTCATATCGTCTCGCTTCTCACACTGCTAGCTGTTAGATGATATGCAAGTGGTGGGTAAACTAGAATGATAACTTACAAGTTTGGCAGCGTACGCGCTCCGATTGGTATTTGGAGTAGCTACCAACTCTGGCGTTTTGGGAGCAGATGACAACTCTGGCGTTTTAGGAGCAGATGATGCCGGATCGAGGGCCAGACTTTGCGTGTTGTCAGTAGACAACTGGTAATGCGGATTGAATGGCAGGTCAAAGCTTGTTGGTCGACTTGGAGTTGTTGGTCGACTTGGACTTGTTGGTCGACTTGGAGTTGTTGGTCGACTTGGACTTGTTGGTCGACTTGGAGTTGTTGGTCGACTTGGACTTGTTGGTCGACTTGCAGTTGTTGGTCGGCTTGGAGTTGCTGGTAATTGAGTCACTTTTGAATCCGAGATGGATCTTTCATGGGTCTGGCGTTGCCGTTTTGTCGGACTCCCTTGAAGTGGCGTAGCCTGGGAGCTGCGGACGGCGGCAGAAGAGCCCGGTGGTCGCCCTCCTTTATTCGAAACTAGAGTAGAAAGTATCAGTAATGATTTCTGAATAAATATTCGTCGGGAATGTCGGGGTTGAAAACTTACTCGCTTGTACACTCGCCACACATGTGGTTCGTAATTGAGAGAGAAACATATTGATCTGGGCCTCGTTCTTCTCCAGAATGTTCTTCTGCAGCTCTTTGAGGGTGGATTTTAATTGCTTAATTGGGGCAACCATGAAAAGTGCAAATACTGTCATGTTTATCTCACACTCCAATTTGGACTTGTGGATAATGTTGCCGAGGTGTAGGAGAAGTTCTCGTCTAACGTCAAGGTCTGTGACATAGTTCAATACTGGCTCTTCCAATACTTCATCGGTGACAATTGATTCAAGAAACGCCGGATTGTTTTCGACCAAGTCTAGAAGAGGTGCAAGGCTATCGGTATTATGCATACGCAGAAGCTGTTGGATCTGGTGAGGATCTAGGCTCAGTGCCACTTCGTGCAGTTCCTTTGCGGTTTTGTCGTCCATGGTTGGAAATGGTGGTTAACTTATGTAGTAAAATAGAAAGGCGAGAGAACAGCGGGAGGAGTGGGAGAGGAGAGAAGATCGAAGGGAGAAGGGAGAAGGGAGAAGAATTGAAGACAAGAGGGCAGCCTTTAAGTAACCTCGCGTTTGCTAATAATGAATGGCGCATAGATTCACTGCCGTTGAGCTTTGGCCTCGACGTGAATCATCCGTTTGCTGGCTCACTTTACACTCAGGCAAAGCCCACTATTTTCTTCTGACCTCCACTGCCTATAAACTTTAAGTCGCAGAAATGGAAATTCTTTCCGTTGTGATAAATGTCTGAGCTTAAGCTGGAACGGAGTTAAACAATTAGCAATGAGCGCATGTCTCAACTCACTTGGTAGTCTAGCTCAGCAAACTGGATCTGGGTTTGTCGATTGGCGTGAGTGAGTTCAAGTGGCGTTAATAAAAATATAATTATACATCACAGGCTAATTATTCACTGTGTTTTATTACATATCCGTATGCAGCCAGTCAAATGTATCCAATACGTCAAAGTTAAAATCCAGAGGTTGTGGAAAGTCATACGCCAGAGCTGCCCGGGGATGGATTTGAGTAAGAGCATAGAGGAAGAATGTAATACACAGCTGGCTGCGGTAGACACTGTACCAGCGACGGTACGGAATTCATTGGTCCGTGCGAAAAGAGGCAATACGGCACCAGTATCCGATCCAATCCACCATTGACTCACCTCAACTACATGTATCCAATCGCCTCAAAGCCTCCCATCTCAGCCCAACTCAATAAGTTCCAAAGAGCTTTCTCTCATTTCACCCCAATTCAAATTACCCCGACTCCTCTTATTTACCCCAATAGTTTATGACTAATAGCGCATCACCAACTTGTCCACCAATCGTCAGTCTGCTTCCATGCCTCGCTCCACACATACTTGAGAAATCTCTATCGAAACTCGTCCATTGCCCGGTTAATTCCCACCGGTAGGATTGAATGGTGCCCCTGCTTGGCAGCAATGACCTGCATATTGATTGCGCCTTCACACGGCTTCTTGATCACATCGGCTATATGATAACACATGGCAATACGTCTACCTCTGAACAATGATGATGATTGTAACTATGTTGCTGTGTTTTATAGTAATAGTAATGAGTAACTCTGAAAGCGTATAACCATAATACCAGGACATCTTTACAGGTATAATGCCCATGTAGGTGACATCTTTCTACACCTCCCGGTCCCGCATCGCGGACCTCGGCCATCGAATCTAAGCCGGTGCCTATCCGGAAAGGCCCACTTGTTACGGAGAAGGGCAATTTTCTGCCGTAACAGAGTGGGAATCAGACATGGGGTGTCATCGAAGGAGGGATCGAAAAAAAAAGTTTGGCCGTATTGTGTGTTGGTCTTCAAATACCCTGCTGGTGCTCACCGGTCGCTTGTTTCTTCTCCTTTTTCTTGAGTGTGTTGATGCATGGCGATGAGGGCCTCTTTGATGGTTCCTTCCTTTCTTTATTCATCTTTTTATTAAGGATTCGTTTATTTTATGCTGTCACGATCGTACATGTTATATGATTTTCATAAAAGAGACAGGACGTATCATTTATAAAGTGTAACCCTTTCTCGTATCGCCGACGGAGACTTGGGAGCACTCATCTCACACGGATTTACCCATCGCAACGCCATCTGCTCATCACACTATCGCTTTCACATTAAAAGATTCACAATGTCTTCAATACCCGATCCCGAAAAGGGAGACGGCTCACCTACATCTTCCCCTCCATCCATCCATTCCTCCACCGATAGCATCACCACTGCGCAATCAGAAGAACAAGACTTTGACAACGAAAAGAAGACGGTCCGCAATCAAATCCTCGAGGACGATCCTGAGCCTCATCATGACGCCCTCGTCCCAACCGTCAGCCTAGCAACGGCAGCGCAGCCCATTGGCGACGCAGCTGGACAAGAAGCTGGCCGCTCTAGGTCTAGGGCTTCAACTACGCGATCAAGGACTCTCAATGTCATTCCTCGCTCTCAGCGCCGTGGGCTTCTGGGTCGTTTTGCTGTTGTGCCCGAGGTTGACCGTCCCTATGATTACAAGAACTCGACCAAATGGGGCATCACTCTGACTATTGCTGTGGCAACTGCTGCTGCTCCTCTCGGTTCCTCTATATTTTACCGTACGCAAGTTCTAGTATTCATGAGCAATCAGAAAGTTGAGCTAACGAATTACAGCTGCTCTCCCTGAGATGACCAAAAGTCTCAACACCACCGAAGACATTGCCAACCTATCTGTCGCCCTTTACATGATCTCCATGTCCATCTTCCCTCTCTGGTGGTCGTCCTTCTCAGAGCAATTCGGCCGCCGCTCCATCTACATCATCTCCTTTGCCCTCTTCCTCATCTTTGCCATTCTCTCTGCCGTTTCCACCAACATCGCCATGCTCATCGTCTTCCGTATCTTCACTGGCGGTGCTTCTGCCTCTGTCCAAGCGGTTGGCGCTGGCACCATTGCCGACATCTGGGAGTCTCATGAGCGAGGCCGTGCTATGAGCATGTTTTACCTCGGACCTCTGCTTGCACCCCTGATTGCACCCATTGTCGGAGGTGCTCTGGCCCAGGCATTTGGATGGAAGGCTACCATGTGGTTCCTTGCAATTTACGGGCTCGTCATCTTGGCCATGTTAATCTTCTTCCTTCCTGAGACTCTGGCACGAAAGAAGGTTGAGGTACCCGTTGAGGAACCCGCTCCTGAATCGATCCGTCGCATGACGACTACCGAGTCTGCCAAAGTTCAGACCAGGAAACTCGCTGCGAGCGCGAAGCGAGTATTTATCGATCCCCTCAAGGTGCTCCTCTTTCTCCGATTCCCTCCGGTATTCATCACCGTCTTCACGGCTGCCATTGCTTTTGGCGCGCTATTCATCTCCAACATTTCTATTCAGCAAAAATTCTCGCAGCCTCCTTACAACTATAGCGAGATCATCGTTGGATTGCTCTACCTCCCTGCAGGTCTGGGCTACTTTATCGCATCCCTCTTTGGAGGCAGATGGATTGACAAGATCATGGCCAGACAGGCTATCAAAGCAAATCGATATGACGAAAATGGCAAGCTGATCTACTTGCCTGAGGATCGTTTCAGGGAGAACATGTGGCTGGCTAATACCATGTACCCTATTGGATTGCTGATTTACGGTTGGACGCTCAACTATGGTGTTATTTTCATCGTTCCTGCAATTGGCAGCTTCATATTTGGCGCGTCATCCATGCTTGTCTTTGTAAGTTTTCTCTTTTCCCCCTTGAGTCCCAAGTCGAAAAACTAATCTCATCATAGTCTGCTGCTACCACTATGCTCACGGAATTCGTGCGCAAGAAGAGCTCTGCTGGTGTTGCGGTCAACAACTTTGTTCGCAACATTCTCAGCTGCGTCGGCGTCATTGTAGCGGCTCCGTGGATTGACGCAATAGGTGTGGGATGGGTGTTCACCACTGTGGCTTTGTTTTGTATGATTGCCGGCTATATTGGCATTTGGACGTTGAGGAGGAACGCGCCTGAGTGGAGGAAACAGATGGACGAGGCGTTGAAGAACATATAATGAGTTTATGATACCCTAATTTGCAGTTATAGATATTCGTTTCAAGCGTTCTGTCTTGCTCTCTAGATTTCAAGGACGTGTATATGTGTAATAAGAGATGACGTTCATAAGTTCATCACATCGCGCCAGAACTTTTGAAGCTATACTCTCCTCCTTTATCATCGGACTTGTCCCTCAGTCAAATTAGCCATCTCTTATTTCTCTCCGGCGAGCAGCTTTCCAAGTGAATCAACAGCAACATTTCCGCCGCTAAACACAAGGCCCAAATCCCATCCCTCTACGCCACCCTCCTTTTCCGCAAGCGCTCTGAAATCCTCGTCAAACAGCGCAACAGCCAGCGGAACACATGCGCTCGGCTCAACCACCAGCTTCATCCGCTCATACACAAGCCTCATCGCCTTGAGAATCTCTTCATCCGTCACGCTAAACATGCCGCTCACGAGACGCCGCTCGTAGATGACGCTCCAGGGGTGCACGCCCAATGGCGTTCGCAGTCCGTCAGCAACAGTGAGTGAAGACACGGTTGGGACACGTTCGCCCGACTCGTATCCTCGCTTGGCATCGTCAGCTCCCTGGAACGAAGGCTCGGCTCCGAAGACGCGGATGCCGGTGCCCTCGCAACTCAGGGCCACGCCAGAGAGCATGCCTCCGCCGCCACAGGGAGTGATGATGGCGTCGAGTCCTTGCACATTGCCCTTTTTCTTGTTCGCCGAGGCGGCATACACGCCCCTCAAGGTCTGCCCAGCAGAGTTGACTGATGAGGCAATGCTGCTTTCGACTTGATCCTGGAGTTCCAGTCCGAGGGTTCCCTGGCCCAGCATGATGTCGGGGTGGTCATAAGGCGGGACCAGCCGTGCACCGGTCTCGGCAATGACCTTTTCGGTGACGGCTTCACGTTCGACGCTGGTGCTGCCGCTGAAGACGACGTTGGCGCCGTAGCCCTTTGTGGCGTTAATTTTGGCCGGGATGGAGATTTCGGGCATGACAATGTGAGCCTTGATGCCGTTTTCCCTGGCTGCGAGGGCGAGAGCCTGTGCATGATTTCCTGTGGGTTTATGTGTGTAAGTAGCCGTTTTGAGCTGAAATAAGACATGACGGTCAAGGTGAATCACAAGTTTCCGTCCCGTGTGTTAACATGTTCGACACGAGGATGATAGTTAGACCAAGTCAGGACATCTTCTTACCAGAGCTATGCGTCACTACGCCCTTTTCCTTTCCGCCTCCCTCCAACCATCCGGGCTCCTCAGTCAACTTGTGAAGCGCATAAAACGCCCCGCGCACTTTAAAGGCTCCGATGCGCTGCAAGTTCTCGCACTTGAACCACAATCTCAGGGTAGGTTTTGCGGGTGTCCTTCCGGCGAATCGAGTGCCCTCCAAGTCTTCAACCGCTCTTGGTGTCGATGCAAGCTCGGAGAGCGTCTGATTGGTCACGACTGGGGTGCGATGGACGTGATTCTTGACGACTTTGTGCGCCCAGAAGACTGAGTCGCGGTTTAGGGGGAGAGTTGTCGATAAGGCGGCCATTTTGGCGATGTCTCAAGGCTCTTCTTGTTCTTTCTTGTCTCTTCTTTAATTAACTGCGGGGTTGATTGACTCTTGCCAGACTCTTGACTCTGAATTGTCCACAACGGAATCAAGAAGAGACAAACCCCACCCTTTTTAATACAAAACTAGCTGAAGACACAATTAAAAGAGAGAGAAAAAAAAACTGCTGCCTTGATAAGCTTATCTCATCGCTCTTCTTGATGGCGTCAAGCAGCTCCCGCGCCTTGTGGTGATCCGAAAGGCGTCGAAGATTCCCCGCCCGCTAGGCTCCCGAACCGGGCTCTAGGGTAACGGCCGCAGTGAAAGTGTTCTAGAAGCCTCTCCAGGTGTCTCTGCCTTCCCCAGATTTTTGCTCCAACACACAGTAGTCCTCAACAAGAATATTTCCACCTGTGACATTCTGGGGATTGTCCTCATGCTGATCTGGACTCCAGCAGCTAGAGAACGTGATCACTAATCATGGTGAACGGTTCTTATTCTCGGAACTTATACCGAATATTGATGCCTCAACTGGCCATGGTCACGCACAAACTTCACGGCAAGGCATCTACTTTTCCCTTCATATTGAGTGCTAGGCAATTATTGATTGTCAGACTAGGTATACGAATCCACGTTGTTGTTTTCCTTTTGCTTTCGCAACTGACTTACGCGTACAAGCACTGTCGACGCACATCGCTTCCTCACCTGGATAACGGGCGCCTAAATCCAGGCAAGGCCCGATATCAGACCAGCAATGTCTCGAGTTCCAACCATGCCAACTCCAATAGTTCCAGGTTATGCATAAACCCTTTGCGGTATCGTTTGAGAACTTGGTTGCCATCTGGAGGGAATGAATCCTATTGCTCATCTCAGCTGGACCGGCCGCCAAAGCCATTAAATCCATCATTTCAGCTTCGCAAGCGTTACGGCGCCATCAGGCCAGGCAATGCATTGATGTGGCTTGAGACAGCAATTATGTGACCTGCAACGTAACTGGCCGCCTCAGAGCAGCCGCAGATACGAGCGCACCGTGAACGGAGCACGTGCGGTTCCCCCACGATGCCGGAGACTTTGAGATGTGATGTGGCTACTACATGGTGGTGATGCAGTTTGATGAGTGGCCTACCTTCAGTGATTGGGGGCCGTGTATTCCTTGTCCTGTCTCTGTCTGAAAATCCGGTCCCCTTGTTTTCTTTTTCTTTTCTTTTTTCTCAGTCGTTGTTCAACATCAGCCGCCGCCCAGGAGATTTGGCCGAGCTGCAAGCTGCTACTTCCGGCAGTGGAATGACTTCGCTTACTTTGAAATCACATTTCATTTACGGTAGAGCGCATCTCCTCCTACCTAGGGGAGGGTGGTTATAGTAAAGACGGTAGTAGAGCGGCGAGCCTGATGGCGCCACCGCTGCCACAAACTCCAGATATCCAACGGCGACTACCGCCAGCTTGGAGCCGATAAAAGTGGCCGGGATCTTGACTGGCCGCGGCTGACGCGAGGCATGGGCCGGCCAAAAATCCCCAGCCAAAGCCTTGTCAAACGCCAAACCATACAGACGTGACCCTTGACTGATCTGTCAAATCAGCTTGCCGGAAGTTTCTGTTGGTTGCTAGTACGGAGATGCCTCCGTGCTGCCCCTCTCTCGGCGTGGATTCAATTTCTCGTTGTATTATGACCCGAGGGAGCGCGCAGGTGACTTGAGCAGAACGGGAGAAAGCTGGTGAAGAACAAGTATCCAAGCAAAGGGCAGCATCGGTTCTCTGCTGGCCAAAGCAGTGATTTGAATTACGTGAAGATATCGGTAGAAGTTGCCATGCTACTTGGCGCCAAGTTTCTCAGCTTTGAAGCCTTTTCAGCTCACCAGATTACCCTCCACGTCTCCGCGGAGCCGAAGGCCCAACTTCCGCCCCCTCAGCCTGGGCATAGATCTTGCAGCAGGGACTGAGAGATACGAACACATACTGGACAGAACGGACGTCAAATACTATAGAGCCCTCGTTGCGTCTCAATGCGAAACAGGTTATGATCCATTCAGACCCTTGGCTGGTCATCGGACTTCATTCCGTCCCTCAGCTGCCGTAACCGTTAGGATTAGCATCCTGCACCTATCTCTGTTACGGGACTGACAAGGTGTCGGCCTAGACAGATGTATTAATACAACGGCAACGCTTAGTGACACGATCCAGTCGGCCGGTTTCCCTCAAGATCCCTCGACATTTTGTGTTGTGGACGGTTCATTGGACACAGGGGTGCATTAGTGCATCCGTCGGCCTGGGATGTTGGGGACAATGAGCATATTGAGGGGAGGCTGGACTCGGAAGAGCACCCGCCGACATCCCTTGGACTGAGCTGGGCTCTTCCTACCTATCGGCTCTCCGCAGTGCCTGACCTTTCAAAGGCATGGCGAGATTGCAGTCTCCATTTCGGCTCTCTTCGTCGCGTCCACCTGCCGTTTCCCTGACTTGTAAGCTGAATGAGGCTTCCAGCCACTTTTCTCCGTTGCCGACAGAAAAGTCGACTAAGGGACGTTGTACGCCGCTTGTCGAGAAAAGGATCGAGAGAACAGGATGGGGAAAGGAACGAGGGAAAATGAAAAGAAGGAGAGACAAAGAAAAAGGAAAGAAAAAAAAGGAAAGGAAAGAGAATTGGACCGAGAAAAAAAAAAGAAAAGAAGAATTAATGAGTCGATTCTGGATTGGTTGATTTACGCACCCCCCACGCCCGTTTTGCGTTCTTCCAGGGGCCCGGTGGCTGTCTTTTTTAGAGCTGAACCGGGGGTGTGTTGATACACACCCAGCAGCGTTTCTCCGGGGATAGAGAACGGAGGGGCGTGTGCATCGGTATGTTAATGCGACGTTGTGATTTCCATGATGGCTGATCCTTGCACCAGTTCCCAGGTTCCTGGGTAAGGCGCGTGGTTCGCGGACCGGGCGACATGGTATGCGGGCATGATGGACTAGACGTTGTCTCTCTGCCGCGTTTTGTTCGGACCCAGTGATTTATTTAAAAATAGGGGATGGAAGGCCGGGAAGAGATTCTTTCAGATCTCCATCTTCCTCATCAAGAGTTTCTCAACCTAGAGACTGGACTTCCACTCTTGAACCGTCCGTCTACACTTTGTTCAACATGGAGAACCCGACGCCGCAAGATGGCCAGCCCAGCCGTGACAGTAGCATTAGCTTGGAAGATGACATTACACTCTCTCCGGGGTGAGTTTGTGTCTCCGACGTTTAATTCTACTGGATGCCATTTCTAACTATATCCTGGCAAACTAGCCAAAGCAGGTCCGATCTTTACACTACACGCCATCCACACAGAGAAGTGTATGGCCCGGTGACTTCAGGGCGATCCTTGATGATGCCTCTCGATTTGCCTAACATGGACACTGCAGAGGACCCATCTGCAGGTACGCGGCCCTCAGATGAAGGCGACCCCTCCTTGCTTTTCGGACGCCGTCTCGAACGCTACTTGGCGGAAGAGCATTATCACGAACGAATTGGGCGGCATCCCTTGGGAGTGAATAAGGCGACTGTCAAGAGGTACCTCCCCGAAATTATACAGAACGTGGACAACGATGCGTCTCAGGCGGAGGCTACCCAGGGCGCAACAACAGACTGTGATGAGAGGGACTGTCGGGGATCGACTGCCACTTTGACTTCTACGACTTCTGACTCCTCACCGGAACCTATTAGAGCACACGATAACAACGACTCCGCCTCGATGCTGCTTCCCCTAATAACATCTTTCTCAAGCTATGATATGATTCCTAGGTTCTTGGAACCAGACGAGATCGACACGGCTCTCGTCAAGCCAAAACATGGCCAGACTAGCAGTGAGTCCTATCTACTAGGTTCAGACATTTGTGAAGAGGACCTTGAAGTGGGAGACATCCTGATGTACGTATACAATAGGCTCGCCGACACCCATCCATCACTAACGGTCAATGAATGTAGGCAACATCGGCGGATGAGAGATCAGGAGAAACGTGACAAGTGGCGCGTGGGGAAGCATCCGCGCGTTAGAAAGACGATTCGTCTGCGAAAGAGACCGGAAGAGTTGAAGTGATGTAGGGGGCGTAGATGATGGCTATCTACTCGGGACTATTCTATACGAGCAAAGCGTTGGGAATTGTAACTCTACACAAACACATTGGTATGAAAGGCGTTGGAATAAATAGAGGTTAATGCATGGATATGATAATGGTAGCGACGGAGGATTTTTCAGGGCTAAATTGTATTGTTTAAAGATGGCTTGCTTCAATTTAAAACAACTGGCGACTGTCACTTGTTCTCCAATATCATTGAACATCATTCATTGTCCATCTCGATCATAGCGAGATGAGTCCTCACACTCTATCAACACCAACATCACGCCAACTTCCTCACTCTCGCAACCTCCTCCCCATCCACACTCACAATCCTCACCCCCTTCCCCTCAACAACCTTCTTCCCCTCCGCCTCCCAAATCTCCCTCATCACAGGTCTTGTCCCCTCCTCCACGATAAACGTCCTATACCCTTCCTCCACGGCCGACTCCGCCGTCGCTCTCACGCAATAGTCCGCCGCCAACCCAACCACAAACACATCCGTCACACTCTCCTCCTTCAACCTTTCCCCCAACTCACTAACACTCACCCTCATAGGATCGTAAAACGCAGAGTACATTTCTACTCTTGCATCCATCCCTTTATCCACAACGACATCAATTTTCTCCGCGTCTAGTTCTGGAACGAGGTTTGAGCCGGGTGTTTCTTGGACGCAATGCGTTGGCCAGAGGAGTGTCGTGTCGCTTTTCGTTGGGTCTGTGGGGTGGATGATTGTGTGGTATGATTTGAAGGGGATGGAGCCGGGATGGTTTTCAGCGAAAGAGATGTGGTTTTGGGGGTGGTTGTCGCGGGTGGCGATTTTGATGGCGAAGGGGAGTGTGAGGAGGGCGTTTACGACGGGGGCGATGTCGCGGCCTTGGGGGACTGCGAGGGAGCCATTCTGTTGGATGGGGAGAATGAGTGACAATGAAAGATAATTGAAGATGAGTGTATAAGGAAGGGAGTTTTGGTAAAATGGACGGATTGATGCTTTCGCTTGAGATAGGGGTTTATGAGAGATGAGTTGCGGATATGTGAAGCAGATTAACTTACGGGCGGGCAGAAATCCTCTTGGAAATCAACGATGATAAGAGCGGGCTTAAACTCTGAGTTGACAGTCATGGTGAGTTATGTGCTGATTGATGAAATAATCTGTATTGTAAACGAAACAAAAGAATGAGATGCAGAGAGTTGAGACAAGAAATGAGAGAATGAGAGAAGCACATGTGAGTTACATATTCAATCATGCTTAGATCATGGTGCCTGAATCGGCCCCACCTCGGCGTCGGTGGCTTATCGCACCAAGATCGACTGATAAGACGCATTTGAATTAAGGGTATTATTATATGGAAGAAACCTCCTGAGAGCTTCAACCATCGTGTACTATCTTTGTAAAAGCAAATTGCAAAATAAAACGTCAAAAACGATAGAGTACACATTGACTAAACAGCCGGTTATCCGTGGATATCGAAGCACTGCTATTCGCCCGCCTTTGCAACTATATATACTCGCACATATGTCGTCTATAGAGCATGCCGTTTGCATCGCCCTGATCCCATATCATCCAAAAAGAAACTCCATTGATACCAACACCCGGCCGCGCGACCTTTTTGTTTTTCTGCGCTTGATTTCTTTGACATTACCCAACATGAAAAAAACCATTCATCATTATTTACCTCCGCGCAGCTCCGTTGGACATTGCCAGGGATACTGACGATGGGGCGGGGGTCATCGCCCTTGAAGGGGCCCCTGAAGGTGCGGCGCTTCGGTTATGCGCCATGTGAGCCTTGACCAGGTGGCCGGCAGCAAGGGCACTGCAGAGGGACAGTTCACCAGCCAGGACTGACGCACCAATGATGCGGGCAAGGCGGCGGGCGTTGTCACCAGGGTTGGTGGGGTGAGATCCTCGAACGCCGAGCAGCTCAAGCATCGAGCCTTGAGGGTCCAGAATGGTGCCACCGCCGAGAGTGCCGACTTCCAGAGAGGGCATGGAGACGGAGATTTGGAGAGAGCCGCGGAGACTAGATGATAGTTAGTACATCTGGTAAAATGAGAGAAACGACATGTTAGAAAAGTAGACACTCACTTCTTCATAATAGTAATACAGTTGGCGCTCTCCACGACTTGGGCGGGATCCTGACCGGTAGCGAGGAATATGGCGGCGACAATGTTGGCGGCGTGGGCGTTGAAACCACCCATCGAGCCAGCCATGGCAGATCCAATCATGTTCTTGGACGTGTTGAGCTCAACCAGAGAATCGACATCCGTCTTAAGGACACTTCGCACAACTTCGCCAGGAATGATAGCTTCAGCGACAACGCTCTTGCCACGACCCTCGATCCAATTGATGGCGGCAGGCTTCTTGTCACTGCAGTAGTTACCAGAGAGAGAAACAATGACCATGTCATCAAAGCCAGCTTCGTTCTGCATCACGTTGAGGGCGTGTTCGCAGCCCTTGGATATCATGTTCATGCCCATGGCGTCACCGGTGGTAGTCTTGAAGCGAATATACAGGTTGGTACCGGCAATGGCCGTCTTCATCGTCTGTAGTCGGGCAAATCGGCTGGTCGAGTTGAAAGCGGTCTTCATCGTGGTCTGACCCTCTTCAGAGTCAAGCCACAGCTTGGCGGCACCGGCACGGTCCAGAGTTTCGAAGCTAACAACAGGTCCACGGGTCATACCATCAGCAGTCAGAACAGTTACGGCACCGCCTCCGGAGTTGATAGCCTTGCAGCCTCGGCTGGTACTGGCGACAAGAACACCTTCAGTAGTGGCCATGGGGATGAAGAAGCTCTGTCCATCGATAACAAGAGGACCAGCAACACCGACGGGGATGGGCATATAACCGATGACGTTTTCACAGCAAGCTCCAAATACACGCTCCCAGTCATAGTGCCTGTAGGGCAGCTTGGAGTTTTCCAAAACACTGGTGATTTCTGAAGTGGCGCGGGTGCGGGCGATGATGGTCCGGCGAACCTTGACAGCACGAGTAAAGTTCTTGAGAGTCTTTTCGAGAGCATAACCAGGGATCTTGCCGCGCATCGATAGCTCAACGACCTCCTCGTCCGTCATTTCGGTAACGCGCTTCTCAGCGAGCATCTTCTCCAAGACGGCCATGCTACGGTTCTCAACCTCAACCTTGGGCTTCGCCTTTGCCTCGGTGTCACTCTCGTCATCCGTAATGGCAGGAGTAGCCGGCTGAGTCTGCTGAGGGGTGGGAGGCACATATTCGCCAAGAGGCAGGTTAACGGTGGGAGTCTCGTTGAAGCGCTGAGCACGAGCAAGCTCGTTGCGGTCAATTTGGTGGTCTGGGGTGTTGGGGTCCTTGATAGTCCATCTGGCCACGTTGAAGAGGTAGCCATTGAGACCGACACTGAGGGCGAGAGCGGCCACAATCCACTTGGAGAGCACAGGGTCCTCCAGGCTGCTGAGAAGGCCTCCAACAACGCGACCTCCGACGCCAAAAAGCTGGCCCTCAGATGGAGCAGTAGCCGAAGGCAGGGCGTAGTGAACTGAGGGATACTCGAGCTCATACTTGATGGGTGTGACGATGCTGACGAGAACGGCAGAGCCCTTGGCCTTGGCAATCTCCAAAATGGCATCGAGGCCGTTGGATGCGACCTTGAAGGGATCGATGGGAGGCGTATTAACAACGCCGCTGAGACCACCCACCAGGGAACGGATGTTGGAAAAGGAAGCGCCGTTGCGGAATAGAATGGTGACGATATTGACGAGATTGACCAAGATGAAACCAGAAACCATCAGGCCCTTGAACTTGGGAACACTGCTGCTCTTGACATTTCTGCCAAACAGCGAAGCCTCCTTGGAGTTGGGCCCATCGGCACTTGAGGCGGCATTCTCCGCAACACGGCGGCTGACGCCATCAGCTTCCAAGACCATGCGCATCTCGACGTGTCGCTTGATGCGGTTGATGACAAGCTTTATGCTTAGGATAGCAGTGTAGAATGTGAAGAGCAGAATGCAGTCGAAGAAGAGAATCCAGGCGGCCAGGAAGCAGAACTGCTGAAGACCACCCTGAACGCCAGAAGCGGCACCAAGACTGAGGACGAAAATCTCAATGGCGTAGTCGCAAATGATATCATAGCCTTTTTCCTTGATGGCAGCTTGAACGGCATACGAGATGACGTTTTCCTGCTTAACCTGCTTTCCCTTCTTGGTCTCCTGGGCTCGGTGCTCGATAGCGTGGCTCAGCACAGCCTTGGTGAGGACAATGTTCTTCTCAAAACCAATGGTAACAACCAAGAAAGGAAGACCCTCGGAGAGGAGGAGAACGCTGATGGGAATGCCAAGGCTAGTGGTAACGGCCAAGCCGAAAAGGAAGGCAAAAGTAGAAGAGAAGAGCGTGGTTGTGCCCAACCAGAAGTTGGAACCCAGGCGGCGCATAGACAGGAAAAGAGATACGAAAGTGATGTGCATGGCCAGGTAACCAAGGAACATGATGGTTATGTCCAAGCCACCAGCGTTCTTCAACAAGTCAAGAAATTTGGACCAAGAATCGCGAACCCACAGCACGAGGTTGTTGCCGGCGTCGACCTTGGCAGCCTTCATGATCCACATCTTCTTCTCACGGCCATGTTGAGTCTCCGTCTCCTGAGCATTCTCAAGAGGAATCTCCTGAGCAGCAGCGATGAACTCTGGTGCCTGCTCGTAGGGAACAGAATAAGCCAAAACGCTGTCACGCGCATAGGCAGCAAATGAGTTGATAGTAGCAGGCAAAGTAGTGATGGAAAGATTTGAAGGAGTAGGCACGGCATGGGAATGAGGAGCGGCAACAACCGCACCTGTAGAGACGATCTCGGGGAAGACAAGTGTCAGGAGGGCAAGGTGGTCAGCCTCATCAAAGGAGCCAGTGCTCTGCTCTACATTTTGCCATTTCCAGCCAGTCTCGGGACCAGCTATCAAATCTCTGCTGCCTTCCGCCAGCGACGTCCATTCTGCCTTGCTCACGCTGGCAGTGCCACCCATCAGAGTCTCTTGAAGCAGACCAACATAGGACGAGCTGGCCAAGAGAGCAATAAAACCAATGGTATGTATAGGATGAGAGCAAGCGACCTTGGCCAGGAACTGGATCAGCGGCGTGAGCCTCTTGTTCAGGCGCGAAGGGGCAGCAGCTTGGCTCGGAGCAGGCTCCCCGCGAAAGCGGCGGGGGAGCAACGTGGAGGGATTCATGTCGATGGATAGAAGAGGTGTTTCGTTGTCGACTTGCAACTATTCCATTGGCAAGTGTATCGTACGATGTCGACTACCTTTGTGCGGTCTGTGACCCACAAAATCTTGTTAGCATCTCGCGATGGAACAGAGACCAAGATCTCGAGTTGACGACGAAGGGAAACAGAGGGACATGGGCACAGATATATACAAGGAGGGTATAAAAAGACAGGAGGCCTGGGGAATGGCGGGGGATTCGACTCACGGACGTTGGCGTGCTGTTGAAAGCACTGAGCCAGCCTTGGTGACGGGATTGCCGTATTCGGTGTGGTGGGTTGCGAGGGATGCCGAAAGGCTGAAGAACAATAGGATGCTGACAGCAATTGACGATGATCAGGCTTGACAAAGAATGACGAAGGCGTCAGAACAGCTCAGCCACAACGCCTAGTCTGCCTCCAGGACGCGGATGGGGAGAGGAAAAGAATGAAGCGGGCAGCGTCCCCCTTTCTTTAACGTCGAGAGAAAAAAGTAGCGGCGAGCAGGGAAAAATATCGGCCACTGAAGCTCCCCTGATGGCAAAAGAGCCCCGGAGGACGCTGATAGGAACCGGTGCAAATTAAGTCTCCAAAACGGGCCACCTAATCAGGTAATAAATTTGGGGTTGCGGCCTGGCAGCGCTTGGCCTAAAACGACTCCAGTTTGTTGATCGTGGGGCGCTGAGTGTGTTGTTTGTCAAATCAGAGCCAAGCGGGAGCGCAATCGCGAGATCTGATTTGTCCAGTGTTACTGTGGTTGGTCCGAAAAATTGGTGGATGATGAAATTGAAATTATTCCTGTAGTGTGTTCGGGTGGTGTTTCTTTTATGCGGGGCCCTTTTTGGCCTTTTTTTTGGCCCTAGGACCGAACGATACGAGTACGAACCCGATAAGGCGAGCAGGCACAAGGTCAGCGGCACGTGGCGTATCAGCAGCTGCCTAAGATCGCCCCAAACTCTGTTGTTTTTTTGGTTTCGCCTTGCACTGAATACACCGAGAGACACGACTTACAACTCGACCAGAGACAACAGCCCGAGAGAAGGACATCTGCTGTTTCGACCTGGAACCTCACTTTTATATCGACGGCTCATACAGCACCACCTAGTCACTGCTAGCCCTTCGTCTACGCCCAACGGCGGGCCCCAGACCCGCACGGCCTCCCTGGTCCTGGTCTACAGGCATGCTCGGATAGGCGCGGTGGATTCCGCTTGGATCCCAGCATTTGCCAGGTTGGAGCTGCAAAGAAGATGTGAGAGATGGACAGGCATTTCGGTGTACCAAGTCAATTGTCTTGAACTGACTCGGTTCGTCCAGGCTTGAGGAGAAGGCCTCGTCTCTCATCAGCCGGGCGAAAACTGTGAGAGAACCTGTATGAGCAATGCCCGCTTCATGCAGCAACTCCTCTACTGTACAAAACAGTAATAAGTCTTTGATGCGGGCCTGGCACGACAGTTGCAGAGCTAGAGTGGCATGTTGCATTGCCACCTTGCAGAAAAGTGACAGTATTACCAACGTTATGTGTCGTGCCTTGACAAGAACACCATGTCGGTAGTGTCAGTGCACCAATTGCCGCCAAGATTCCTTTGAATCAACATGCGGTGAGGGGTCAAGGCTTTTGACTATTGCCTGCGACATGTCCAGGATATCATATTTATTCCATCATTGGCTCATGCATGCCCGCTGGCGCCCATTGACAAGCCGGGCCTTGTTGGTCTTGAACGGTTCGCAATGCCCGCAACTGACTAGCTGCTGCATCGAGCGGGTTAGCAATTGTAACATGTCCTTTGAGCAGTGATGACAGCGCTATGCCTCATGTTAACTGCCGCTATCTGGCTCGGAAAGCCAAAGAAGCGAGGCGAGACTTGACACCCATCTCCGAGCCTTTCTGCCGTTACTCGAGAGGCTGTCGGATCCTTGATGCAACCAAAAAAAGCTGTCAACAGAGGACTTGTCTATGGGCGGATTGCCAATACAACGTCATGCTTATTTTCATTTACCCGACTCCCATCCCAAAACGTCCTGTTGTCGACATCTTGAATCTTCAGATAAGAATTCGAGGAGACTACATGTTCAACTAAATAAAGTTCAGATCGTATCCTGTATCTGATATCCCGTAGCTTTTGGCGCACTAATATGGGGCCAGGTTGCATTCGATGAGCCGTCTACCGCATCTGGTGCAACTTAGCGGGACAAGCCGAGAGACATATACGAGTACGCGCCGCCAGGTATTTCTAAAGATTCAAACTTTCAGCTATATTGAAAACACAAGAGGTATCAATTGCTATATGGACAACAAAAACAGATGCGCCGACCAATCATCTAGCCAACGTGACACACACCATTTCACAGTACGTCATCGCCGTCCCGAAGCTCCTCCGACTCAAGTAGCCGATACCGACCCTCCTCTTGAAGCCGAGCGGTGGTGACGCGGTCGGGGTAATTCCTCAGAAACATGTTTGTGAAATGCGTGCCGTAATGGATTCCTTCAATGGGCGACTGTCCGGCATTGTGACCCGGCAGCGGCCGTATGACGGAACGAAAGTTGGGCTCATGAAAGTACGCAAATGCGAACCGTTCACGGACGTTGAGCCCGACCTTGTGCGGTGTTGACTGCAGAACATTGTTGGTCATGTACTGCATCATATCGCCTGAGGCAAATTCGTGAGCTACGTTCTTGAAAAAGTTCACCTGGGAGCCCTACCTGGAAAGACTGTGAATGTCCCAGCAACTGGAGGCACGTACACCCATCCGGCCTCGTTTTCCCGTAGTCCAGCTGAGCTCTTTTCCCAGTTGGAAAATCGTTCATTTTCATGCGGTGGCCGGACAAAAAGCCCTGGAGCATGTCTCGTTAGACATGCAGATCGACAGGTGTACGGGGAAAACTCCATACCTCCAACGTCATCTTGGGCTGCAATGACAAGCAAGCCATAATCAGTATGGGAGCCAATACCTCGCCCCTTTTTGCCTTTGCCATTCGTCCTATCATTTTGCGGAAATCTATTGTGTTGCCTAATCAGTAACGGCCACGCTATCTCAACCAAGACGGGGGATAGTATGGCTACTTACCTCAGGACGCGCATGTGGTGCCACCCATCGTTTGTGTATCTCGTTAGTGATCCTGTGGGGATATCCAGGCCCATTTCGATCAGCTGCAGGAGCTTCTCTCCAGATTCAGCCAAATCATTCATGTATCTGGTCATGATTGCTTTCATGTGCTGGTCCAGCCATGGGCATGGTCCATGACATGGCCAGCCTCGAGCGACACGCTCATCAGTGTGTGGAAGATCCTTGGTCACGGTGAAGATTTCTGAGTAGTCGGCAATCCCGTCAGTGATCTCCTCACCAGAGGCGATATATCCTGAGTAGCTCATGTCGTCTCGCAGGCCTGTTTCAGTGCATGCGGCTGGGCGAAGAAGCGCCTGCTTGCGGCATTGGCGGCTTGGTATAGTCTCTGCTGTGGCTTGGACATGCCAATTTGGAGAATGCCATCTCTGCGCCAGGCACCGATCATGGCATCTGCTATGGCCTTGTCGGATACAGACCCCGAGACTCTTTCGGGAAGGGTAAAGGTCTCCAGCCTACCGACCTTGGCTTTGAACCCCGGGGGCATGCCATGTCTTGTGGCTGTTTGCACAAGCACTGCTGCTGTTGACGCAGCGCGCGCCTTTGGGACGAGGTGACGGGTTACGTCTACCCCCTTATTTGCGGCTTTGGCAACGGCCATCTGCTCTTTAAGGGAAATTATATGATGGGGTTTATGGAGAAGCTGCCTTGTTCCAGGTGAAGTCTGCGATGTTATCTCTTGGCTATTCCACTTGACAACAATACGAAGGCTTCAGAGGGAGGGTGAGAGCGAATATAAACCATTTGAAGCATCAACATCAACTGCGAGGGCTTCGGATTCTTCAACCCAACACCCGACCGCCATTTACACATCTCTGCGCGAGGTTACCCAGAGGTGCACTAAGCTCATTACGCCTTTCCAAGCGCAGCTATCCTTCGTTCCATGTGGTGGCCACATCTCTGCCTCGTCAAGAGGCAATTCCCAACCACGTTGTTCACCCAAATCCTGTGTAACAAGGGTTCTCTTGTGGTTTTGGGCATTGCGGGGCCTCGTGGATGGGCTTGTATTACCTGCTGTTGAACGAACTTGGGGCGGTCTGAGACAGCAAAGGTTGAAGCATGAAGTTGACAAGGATAAATTCTCAGAAAAAAAGGCCGAGAGATGAACTGTGCAGAATGCAACAATGCGATGCAACAAGGCAAACAAGCACGCTACTTGATCTGTACGTTTCTCATTGAGACGCCGAAAAGAGAACGCTTACAATGGCTGGAATTGCCAAGAAGCAAAAATTGATAGAGCTCTTGGAAACTTATTACTGACCGCCTCGATATTCAACTGTCCTGCACATGAAGCTAGGGACCGGTCATGTCCGGACAAGCGGTATCAGTGGCGGAGAGAGCATGCCATATACGAGTTTTCGAATCAGATTTCATTTGCCCATCTATCAGTCTAGTTTTTGATGCTGTCACACCCAGCCATTAGGCCATCCGCCATGATGGATATGCAGCCATTTGGAGCCCAAATCTCGGTGAGCTACCTGGAATCACACTGCTTGTTTTTCAGGGGTGTTCATATAACACTCCCCGCAGTCATGAATGGCGTTGGATTATCAAGTCTACGCCGTCTGCTCTGTTGCCGGCAGCAGTTGCCTACAACGTGGATGCCATCAATAAACTGCCGTCATTGCTCTTCTCTCTGGCAAGTTCACAAACTGAAGTCGGGCCAGGCGAAGCCGTGTGTCAAAGTGGCACAGGCTGCAACGAAGCTATCTGCAAAGCTTGAGGCGCAGATGTGGTGGCCTTTTATTGGCCACCCAAACAATGGAGGATGGATTTTGGACACACCCATCCGACGTCAAACTTTAGCATCTGAGTAACCCAAGGGCTAACCGAACGGGAGAGCGAATAACAGACAAGATATGTGATACCCTAACCGAGATCGAACAAGACTGGGGAAAGAGGAAAGTATCAGTGCAAATCCAAACGAGAAGCTCGATCCCAACGGCAAAGACCGATGCTGAGAGTGATGACGCGAAGCTTCATCGACTATTTGGGGCGTCATCGAGGAATCTGCCCTTGTTGCTCGAACACAAATCTGGTGGACTATATCTAGAGCAAGATCTCCCGGATGTTCAGCTAAGAAATCTTGGATCTCGATGGCATATCGGTTCCGACAGGCTGGGAGGCCAGCCTTGCCGAGAGTGCTCCCAGGGAGAAGGCCTCGACTACTTGTGTCTTTTGCTTGACCATCGACCGATCTGGTTCTTGGACCATGGAAGCCTCTAGACCCAATAGCCAAAGCTGAAGAGCGAGCCACCGTTGGGAAGCTACATTGTTGGAAGCAAATCGTCGCCCAATCATAGCTTTGATGCCCGAAAGCGCCCCAATCACTTGACCCATGCAGGCTCACTCGATATACGAGTCCGTCTTCTTGCTTCGACCTGAACATGGCTCCCCCATGCAGATGATCGTTGCCTCCCTCGTCGCGGCCAGCTTCGGTCAACACATAGAGCAGCATGACGTGATCAACATCGCACATGAAGCGGCTGGCCATTCACGCTGAACTAACTACCGTGCGTACGACCCATCAACCATTCAAGTCAGACAAACGCACAAGCACCGTACCCCACGCAGAGAGCCAGCCATCGGATGAAGCTATTCAGATTATCCACCGGACTGTCCTCTTGCGTGCTTTTGCCATGTTTCAATCTCTTTTTCTTCTTCAGCGAGGGAGGAGCCGACTACACCCGACCCCGTGCGACCAAACGCTACCTAACCCGGCTTATCTCGCGGCAGTCTAAAATTGATACGTATGACTGACTCTAGTGAGGTTAAAACAATCCTGTGCGACGACATCTGAAAGAGGGGCTTTGGTGTGAGAGGAGACGCACCGTCGGCGGGATACGCGCCAGGCAAAGATTCGCTTTTCCCTTCCCTTTGCTTCTTTCCCTTTGGCGCCCTAAAAGACGAAAAGATGTAGCCATATTCGTCATTCTGAGAGAGGCAACTCGTAATCTTTTGTGAACTTTGTTCGTATTAAGGTAATGTTACAGCTGCAAAGGAGAAGAAAATTACAAACGGCATTGCTCTGCATATTACCACTTACGACAACGCACAATCATCGCCATGAGCAACCTGAAAAGACGGTCAAACGCTTTGACTTCACCACACCTTTTGTCTTTACAGTCCATCCTCCATTAGGCATTCAACCCCCTCTCTCCATGGCCATTTCATCCAGAAACTCTCACTCCGTCTCAGACTCACTTGGTCAACTTGGTCGTTTCGTGCTTGACTCCAGCCTCCTCCGCCTTCTTATCCGCAATCTCACAGAGCGCCTTCCACTCCTCCGCACTGACTCTGCTCACGCTCAACCGGCCCTGCTTCAGCATCTGCATGTTCTCCAAAGGACCCCCCTGCTTGCCCAATTCACGCAGCTCCTTGAGGCCAATCGGCACGGCAAACTTCTTTCTGAACTCGACGTGGACTAGGCTCCAGCGGACATTGTCCTTTGAGGATTGCGGGTCGTAGTAGGGCGTTCCTGGGCGACGAGCGCTTTCTGGTGAGACTGTGTTAGTTCCCTTGTATGAAATGTGATAGAAGGGTGAAGGGTAGAACTTGCTGTCTTCGGAAAACTCCTTGACAATCTCCATGATGCCTGCGATGCCGGGCTCCTTGCAATTGGAATGGTAGAAGAAGGCTTTATCGCCCTGATTCATGTTCCTCATGTGATTGCGCGCCGCATACGCTCTTATTCCTGTTCCACTTCCATCAGCATCGTGACATCCTGCTACCAGAGCCTCTTGAATGAAACTCACCATCCCACCCCTCAGGCTTCTCCTTTGCCCGCAAATCATCAATCGAGAACCTAACGTCAATGCCATTCTCAAATCGCGTCTCCGGCTCAGCCTTCATCAGCCAATACCACTCGCCGTCGTGACGCGGTGCATCTGGGTTCGTTGCTGGGATGGAGTCAATGTCCGGGTCTTCGGAGACGGCGCGTGTCGCTTTATCATCGCCTGATGATGCCTTTTCATCATCTTCATTCTTTGCATTGGTCTTCTTGCTGTACTTTTTAGTAGCCTTTTTCTTGTCGTCTGCTGGTTTGTTGATACTCTTGGTTTCCTTTGCAGTAGCAGCACGCTTCTTGGTTGGAGCAGCGGCTTTCTTCACTTCTGGCGTAACATGTTCCTTTTCTTCGGCTTTTTTAATTGATGCTGCTGCTTGTCGTGATGAGCGCCGCTTAGCCACTGGCTCAGCAGCTGCCTCGCCTTCATCTCTGATGCGCTTCCGTGGAGGCATGTCTAATCTGTGATTAGATATTAAATGAAAAGACGATAATAAACAGAAAGTGAAACAATAAATCAAAGACTCAACAAATTATCTTTTCATAACCTTGCGTATCAAAAAGAGCAGCAACAACTCAAGCAAACAACAAAGACTGTGAATGAGCGAGTAAGTGAGTGAGCTCCCTCTCAAGGTACGTACAGCAGCACAAAACTCTCCGTCCCCCAGGCGCGTCAGCCATACAAATCCAATTTTCCATCCAGGCACGCGCTCACACTTTCGCCACAATGTGGCTGGATCCACCCCCAGAAAATCGCTAGCACAGGCATATTTCCCTGAATTAGCCAAAACTGCCGTGCCGTCTTATTTTCTTCCCTACCCTGCTCCCCGGGTTCATACGAAATACGCTGCAGGCCTCCGCAAAAAGACAAAAAGAGCCTCAACTTTTTTGGTAACAAAACTTGTTTTTTTTAAGCCCAGAATTTTTTTTAAGCTCCCAGACCTCGTCTGGAAGCATCGGATGGAGGGCGCAAAGAATCCTTCCTTCGCTATTTTCGGGACTAATGCCGATAAATACGGATGGAAATGGACAATGGCTGCGTGGATTCCCTCGTGGGCGGGTCGCGCTATTGGTTGGATAGAGTGGATGACTAAGTCACAGGGCTGCAGTGATGACTCAGCCACCTGGTGATGACTCAGCGAGTTGGAGGACCTCATGGCAACTTGACCTCGGACGACGTCGATGTGTTTTCGCAGAGATATCTCATTTAGTAGTTGTAGAATCAATTGAATTAATTGTGTAGTTAATGTAGAGTGTGATGAAGATGAAAAATAATCCAATTTGATGATGCTGTCCTGGTACTACGAGTCTACGATGCACTTACACGGGGCAGGGCGACGACGACCATGGATCGATGGTCCAGAACATGAATTACAAGCGATGACAACAGAGGCAATTGTTTGATTGGATTGAGGTCGATGGCATAGGGCTAGCCAAATGGGTGGTGTCAGGGTATGTGTTGTTATGCACGAGGGAGAAAAGGCCTCATTGCATCTAAGTGGTGGCAGGCTTTCGGCCATGGCCCCTTTAGAGTAACTGAGGAATATCAATTCGACAGCACCAGCGATAATGACAATGGATGCAATTCGACCCCAATTGGACAATGGAGGAAGGAAATGGTAAGGCTGCGTCGTAAGCTAGCGACGTAGCACAGCAGAGTTCCTAGGACTTTGGGCGGGAGATGGTAGGAAATGCCCCCTGGCCGAACGGCACGACGGCGACTTGAAAAAAAGGCATGCATGCCTGTATGGAATGAGAAAGCATGTAAAACAACGTTTTCAAGGGCAGGACTCTCTCTTGGCATCTTCGTCCTTGAAGAACTGAGTCTTGGTGCCAGTGACGGTCAGTTGCCCAAGAGAGTGTCATGTAAGTGTGTGTGTGTATATGTGTGTATGCATCTCGGGGGGAATGATGGCCGACGACGGGAATAGTCCAAATAATGCAAAGGCAGCATGTCTGGGGAGTTGATGCGAGTGATTGATGGTGATGACAAAGGGTAGCATGTGCAGAGTTGTCAGGAGGATGAGGTAGGTCGGGGGAGGTAGTGTCAGGTAGAGAGCGCTCATTGGCTGACAGCGAGGGGGGCCTCCTCGGGGTCCTGCTCGGCGTCCCAGGGTATAAAAGCCGTCCCGTCCCAACTACCCTCCTCCCCATTACTCTCCCCTCTTCACACTCGACAACGCAAACTTCATCAGGAAACAAGAGCAAAACATCTTTCAGAGTTTGAACTCGTAGAGTCTTGCTGTTGCATCCCTTATACATCATCCCCCTGTTAGCTTTCGTCCAGCACCTCGCCGTCGCCTCCCCCCCTACCTACCACTGGGTGCCGATGCAACCAAGGATAGTACCAACTCAAGGAAGCTGCCAGCATCACATCCTGCATCATTGAAAGAACCATGAGCTCCATCAACATGGACATGATGTCGCTGAGTCCCCCTAGGGAGCGTCTCATGAGTCTCGACTACCACAGGGCCGACACCAGAAGGACCCGGCTCGGCAGAATGGAGCCTCGAATCCACAACGCCGCCTTTGAGGATCTCATGGCGCACAAGAGCCACAGAGAATACCGCTCAGGCCATTCAACGAAGCATTCTCGTTACTCTGAAGAGTATGAAGCCGTTGATCACGACTCCTCATCACATCGTTCGTCACGTGAACTCGATTCCGTCCTAGTTCAGCCATCAGTATCCTCAAGAGGTGTCAGAAGCCAGGACTTGGCTAGGGAGTCCAGAAAGTCCAGAAAACACCATCTCCCCTCCCCTCCCCCAGATGAGTCTCATCGGTATCGTCGTGGCCAGGTAGAGTCTTTCTCCAGTGCCTCCAGAGCAGAGAGAAGTCGCGACCTCCGGGGGTTTGGCGCTTGGTGCGATCCAATCGTAGTGCCACAGCAGGAACTTTTTGCTGAAGACCCTTATGACAAGGAAGAGATTGCTCAGAGCAGGAGATCAAACAGATCCAATGCTCCCAGCACACCACGGGATCGGCTGTTGCCCATGCCCGAGCTCTCGCCCATGCCAACCCACTTTGAATTCTGTCCTTGTTGCATTCAAGAGGAAGGCAGAATCAATGAAACGTGGCATATGGCAGGACATGAGAAGATGGACACTCAATGTAAGCCACTTCGGGGGGGTCAACCCCGTCACTTGAGTGGTGCATACTGACAATCGATAGTGGAGTATGCAATTGCATACATTGAGCGAATGAGGTTCAAGCAGTAGACAGGGCGACAGAATTGTGACCTGAGAAGAAGAAGAAAAAAAGGTGCGCGGAAAGGCAATCTGTGAATGACGACAGTGGGCAATGGCATATGGCGTATGGCGTTTTTGTTGAGTGACGTGACCGAGGGGATCTTTGTGTTTCGCGCAGCGACCTGTAACCATTTTCAGAGTTGAGTAATAGTAATGAACGCATCTCTTATCGCCCTTGCTGAAGTAGAAGAGTGGCGAAAAGCAAAGAAGGCTCGAAATGAGCTGCAGCCCGCCAACTTTGGTGGTCAGGTGTCTTGAAAGGACATGGTTCCTCAAACGCTAGGCACCATTATCCAATCCAAGCCAGCCGCTGCTGAGTCTGCCTAATGACGAGCATCATGGGCGAGAAGCGGACTGGACAATGTCGCGCGCCCTTTGAAGGATCCTGTCGTTTCAGGAGATGGAAAAATAAATGAATGAGGCATTTGATGAGAGATAGAAGAAGATTCCAGCATGTTCTGGATGAAATGATGAGGAGTGAAATGAGTGTTGATGGCTGAGTTGTTGCAGCACATGCATGAGTGAGTGAGTAAGGATGAAAGTCCTAGATTGCGAAAATGAGGGGGTGGATCAGGCTGCCAGATGGGGGACGGGAGCTTACAGTGTCCTGCTGCGCCGCTTCGGGGCCGAAAAGGTTAGGTTACAGGGCACTCTAGGCCTATCAGGCAGTCTGAGGCTTGTGAGGCTTGACTTTGGGGCTGGTGGCTGGTGGCTGGTGGCTGACAGCACATCCATAGGCTAAAGTCCGGCAGTGGATGGACGGGCTCACCCGCGCGTCTACTGTATACACTCTAAGTGGATGCTGGGGCTCGCGCTTGCTTGGGCGTTGCCGGGCCAGCAGAATCCCCTAAAAGCCGTTGACAGGATAAACAGTGGAGCAGCGCATACAAGAATAATCCTGACCCCTGGGATCCAATGCATCACTAGATTGATTTGATTCACGTCTAACCAGCATCCAGCACCCAGCGCCTCCAGTATCATTTTTTCTCTTTTTTCTTGCTTTTTGCTTTTCGTCTCAACACGGGATCGATCCGGCTGCATCTGCCGTCACATCGCCATGGAGCTCGCATCCAAATCCCAAAACCTCTTCAACGTCTATCTCCGACTGCGACCCCCGTATCCAGGAGCGCTGCAGACTGAGCGCATCCTTGACGTCGAACCTGCTGCAGACAACCTGCATCCGTCCCACATCACGCTCAACCCACCACCGGATCGACGAAGGGCCATCGAACGGTTTGGCTTCACGCAGGTGTTTGAAGAGGACGCCAGCCAGCTCGACGTCTTTCACTGCACGGATGCCCCGTCGCTGATCGAGGGCGTGCTGGCGCCCCATGGCGGCGATGGAACAGATGCTGTCGTGGCCACGCTTGGTGTCACGGGCTCAGGCAAGGTACGCAGACGGTAGCGGGGGATGCAAACGCTATGCTACGATATGCGTCCTTGTCCATCTAACCTGGCGGCAGACGCATACGATCCTTGGCAGCCGTAACCAGCGAGGTCTCACTCAGCTGGCCGTGGACGTCATCTTCCGATCCATCAGCGACAACATGGTCGAATCCGCCCAGTCGCCAACTCTCGATTCGCTCCAAGCCTGCGATGCGTCCGAATCAACCCTTGTCACGGCACCGTACTTTCTCGATGGCATGAATGGAGATATACCGCAGGGGACATACCGTGGTTCCGGCGGCTCAAGATCAACCACGCCCATGATGGTACGAACCCAATCAACCCTCTCGTCGATCAAGACGTCCACTCCCAGTAAAGTTCCGCAAAGAGTGCAGCAAATGCCTGGTTCCTTTCCCGATTCAGCAATGTCAAGCCCGAAAAGTGTCAGGCCTGTCAGTGAAGCTGAGGAGACGCTGCATAGCAAAGGGCAATAGAGTTGCTCGGCGCAACAGTCTCTGGGAATCAGCAGATCCAACACGGCTGCCAGAATTCCGTCGCCCAAGCGGGCACTGGAGCGGCCATTCATGTCTTTAACCGCCGCCAGTCGCCTCAAGACAACAGCTAAACAGAACATAAAGGGCGAAAGTACGTTTTCGAGTCAACGACGAACCCTGCGCCGAAATTCAACCCTACTCAACTCGCTTCCCTATTCTCCGGACGTCAGCGACTTTGTAGTGCCCTGCGATCCCGCCGCCGAATACGCCGTCATCGTATCCATGTACGAAGTTCACAACGACCGCATCTACGATCTCCTTACCCCCGCTAGCAAATCCGCCGCCAACAAAGACTACCGCCGACCCTTGTTGTTCAAACCTACCGAGCTGTCCCCTGATCGCAAGGTAGTTGCCGGTCTTCGCAAGGTAGTCTGTACCGATGTTCGAGAAGCCCTCTTGGTGCTTGAGGCAGGTCTGCAGGAAAGGCGAGTGGCAGGTACGGGGAGCAACAGTGTCTCGAGCAGGAGCCATGGCTTCTTCTGCTTCGAAGTCAAGAAGAGGTCGTTTGGTTGGCAGAACAACTCATGGACTGGAAGCAAGCTTACCGTTGTTGATCTCGCGGGTAGTGAGAGGGCGAGGGATGCAAAGACTCAAGGCGCGACATTGGCAGAAGCGGGAAAGATTAACGAGAGCCTCATGTATCTTGGCCAGTGTCTCCAAAGCCAGAGCGAGGTCAGCGCTGGCAGAGTAAGTTGATCCATCTACAGCCGAAACCAAATAGGAACAATCTCTAACTATGCGGCAGGCCAATGTTGTCCCTTACAGACAATGCAAGCTTACCGAGATCCTCTTCTCCAACTCGTTCCCATCCGCAGCAGGATCCTACTCTCACACTCCGCGCCGAAACCCCCAGCGGGGTGTCATGATTGTTACGGCTGATCCCCTGGGCGACTTCAACGCAACATCCCAGATCCTTCGCTACAGCGCTCTTGCTCGAGAAGTCACTGTTCCTCGTGCGCCATCATTTACGGCCAATACGCTTGCACCAAGTCCCACGGTTTCCACGCATCACACCAGGCCGTTTGGCAATGCCGGCTTTGGATCTGTGAGAAGCCACTTTTCGCCTGTTAAAGCCACCGACGAGAGAGTGACCATGGAGATTGCCGCGCTGGAGATTGCCAGGATGAGCGAGGAAATTGAGCAACTCCGTCAGGAAATCGAAGTGCAGAGCGAGGCCCGTATTATAGCCGAGGCTCACCTCCTTAGTACAGAGGATCGAATGATTGACATGGAGGCCGCCGTTCGAGAGGAGTGCGCGCTTGAATTCGAGCAGCGTCTTGCTATGGAACTGGCTCGCTTCAAAGCATCCATGCAGATCGAAAAGGAGCGGCATGAGGAGCACTGGGACCGCAAGGTGGACATCTTGGAGCGCGGCCTGGACACGGGCTTTGAGGAAGACTTTGACAAGGAAAACGTCCTGGTGGAGAATCTTACACAGGAAGTTGAGCGGCTGCGACGTGAGAACATGATCCTCAAGAGGGAGCTTTCGAACCGCAGTCCTAGCAAGCGGAAGCCCCTGGAGGAGCGCGAGGACTTTGTCCTTCCCAGCGGCAGCGGCACGCCCAAGCATGACAGCGTGACGAGCATCAGCCGCAAGTTTGAGCGCATCAAGATTAGCAGCGATGTGGGTGGCGCCAATGGGCCTAGAAGTCCCAAGAAGGTGCGCAGGTTGGTGGCCAGGCGCTGGGATGAGCCGGATGATGTTTAGATTTGGGAGCATTTTGCAGGAGTTGTTGTCCTGCGCTGTTCATATTTTCTTCTGGGCATGAATTTTTGAAAACAACTGCTTCCTTTGGGCAGTGTAATTGGAAAAATGACGATGCCACGACCTAGATAAGATATTAAAAGGGAGAGACATGTGGGCTTTGGGAGAAAGGGATGGGATGGGATACCCGTGATTCAGGAATTTGGCGATGGAGGGTTTTTATTGGGTGTTTTATATTTTCATATGGTTTTTATTGTTGATTTAGTTGTATGGATTGATAGCAAGGACATAGTATTCCTGTTTCATTATGGCTTTGCAGGACATTATTGTATTAATTACTAGTATATATGATGTGTTTCTATATATGGAAGACTTGTACTTTATTGACCCTGTACGAGTTCTTGGTTCAATTTTGTCAGAAGTCTCGCAGTCAGATAGCTGGGAGAGAGCATCTGAGTTGAAGCTAGCGGTCGGTGTTCACAAAGAAATATAAAGGAAGAGAATATTCTCCTCGTCTATGTATCATTTCAGAGATATATACGGACTTTACTATATACGTCACTGTAGGATTATAGCTAAAAATGCTATTCAATAGAATAAGAATAGTAAAGTAAAACAATGTGTTTCTATATATGAATATGTACTTTATAAACTCTGGGGTATAATTCAACATGCTGAGCATAACCAACGCCTTATTAATTGTCCAAAAGAAAAACCACTCTTCCACCGACATTATTCCTCCAAGATGACATCCCGAACCACCTCATGATTGCTGACCAGTAGTCTCGTTTTGCTCCTCAATGTTATTCAGAGCAGGCTCCTTGCCCTTACCCTTCCCCTTGCGCTTATTCCTCCAGGTCCTTTTCTCACTCTCTGCAGGAACCACATCACGATCCGCTACAGGCTGCTGAACCACAGGCGAAGGTTGAATAGGAACCTGTGGAATCATCTGCCATCCCTGCTGCATCATCGCCGGCTGCGCAATAACATAAATCGGCCTCGAAGCAGCAGCATTCACCCTCGACGTATCCACACACGCACCCACAAACAACGTAAAATGAATCGCCGCAATCAAATACGTAACCACCGCCACAGCAATCGAAACACTCCTCTCATGCGCAAACATGTGTTTCGCAGCGTAATTGTCCTCATCATCAGTACATGTCCAGACGACGGTTTGTGTGGTGGAGTTCCATTGGTTGCCGCAGGACTGAGTGGCGTATGATGCGCCCCAGGAGTCTTGGAACCAGGGGCCGAAGAGGGAGGTGAGGACTGTGGCGACGAGGAAGATGATGAGGGAGAGGGCGATGTGGGCGCCGGGGTGGATGCCGTGTTTTTGGAATTTGCGGGCGGCGCGGACGATGAGTTCGATGAGGGACCAGAGGAGGGCGATGATGCACTATTTTTGTGAAGAAATTAGTTTCTTTTGGTCTGTTATAGGGGTTTTTGAAAGAGAGAGGCTTACAGGAGGAGCGGCGGATATGACGACCGTGTAAGCAAAGTAAGTGAAATTGAGACTGCTAAAGCCCAATCCAATCCCCGCCGCCGCGAGAAGAAAAGACAAAACGTGGAACACAGTCTTTGTGATTTCCCAGGGCTTAATCAGGACGGGCTCCAGGTCGTCAAAGGTCGGCGTCGGTCCTGGATAGGGAACGTATGACACTTGAGGTGCGTTTGTCGCGGCGTAGATGTATGGCTGGAAACCCGGTTGCTGCTGCTGCATCGTGATGGCGGGAGGAGGGACAGTCTGCTGCGATTCCTGGTGTTGTTGCGCCTCGGGGGGAGGAGGTGATTTTTCAGTGGAGGAAGACATTGTGCGCGGTAATTGGAATTGGAGAAGGAAAAGGAAGTGAGGTTATTTCGAAGATGTTGTCGCAAAGAGTTTTGACTCAAGGTGATGGTTGTGGCTGATCAATTCGATTTACTGTCTCTCGGTTCGAAAAGGCGGAACGGTCGAATTTCGAGTGGAAAACCTGCGAATGCGTCGCCCTTCTCAACACGCGCGACAAAGCACAAAATTCCCTTCCCAACCAATATACACAAACAACGTCTATTCCCTCAAAAACGAAGAAAACAAATAAAAAGCGTAAAAACACCACGCAAAAGCCCTCACAATGGCATATAGAGAGAGAAAGGAAAGAAGAAAGAAAGAAAAGAAACGCTGACAACTCCGTCTCACGACATACAGTAGTTCGCTGCTCCCTCGCATACGAGCTTCCTCACTAGGCATGCCACTAGACGCACGAACTCAGCCCTTCCCTTTCCAAACCGGCATCTCGCTAAATAGTAAACAGCGAGAGCGAAAACTGGGCTAACTGCCGTGCGTGTAAGTAGTCATTAGTTTAGTTAGCTACTAAGATAACTGCATGCCGTTCATGCGGTAATGGTAGCATCTTGTGTCAGACGAAAGATGACAGAACCCCTGTAATACGCAAGTTTTTGGGTACTGCGTTTGAACGTGATTGGTGCGAATGGCGCTGCTTGAGAGCCTATTGGCTGGTTAATATCCAGATGGTGCAGAGACGGGCTGGATGTCGGCCGTTTCCTGTTCTGGAAAGGAGCCAGGGGTAGCTTAATCTTGCCATGGTCTGAGGGGAGGGTCTCGGATGGAGTCGTTTTGCAAGGGTTTCCTAGGGAATAGGCAGCAAAGGCCCCCATCGGGCTGAAGAAGAAAAATTAAAGTAGTGACTCCCGGCTGATAAGAAACCAGAGTCAGAGTTGAAAGACGATTTCAGTTTCAGGCTGGTTGCCCAAGGTTATTAAGTATCATTAGAGAGGTATACGTGATCTAAGTTGCGGCCAGCCAAGGCCAACGCTCTTCGTAGAATCATATCGCCAATAAGCCCGAAAAAAAACGAAAAAAAACAAAAGTCCCAATACATGACGTTTTCATGTCTTGTCTCGCTTCTCAAACTAGCTTCTCATCCTTCAAGCAGGAGCGTAAAACTCCCTGATCGCGGGCCCCTGGGTGGCGGCAGGAGGCTGCATCTGGACAGCCTCGGTAGAAGCGTCGTTTTGCATCGGTTGCCATCCCTGAGTGGCAGCAGGCCAGTTTTGCGGCTGTGCAATCATCATGATGGGACGTCTGGCGGCGACATTGCGTCGGTGAGTGTTGATGCAAGCGTCGATGAAGAGGCCAAAGTACAGCCCAAAGATTAGGCAAGTGATGACGGCAGCACCGAGAACCTTGCCACGGGGATATGTGTCCCTGTATGGATCACAACTGTCACTGCCACTTACTGTGTGCAGGTTCCCGTTGCTGTCGGAGTAAGTATAGGTGCCGCAGTCTTCTTCATCATCTTGGTAGGGATTCAGAGCGACGTATGTGCAGAGAATGCCGCCCAAGATGCTGGAAAGCATCCAGAGGATGAGACACATGCCGACATGCGCGCCAGGGTGAATACCCTTTTTGAATTTCCGAACAGCTCTCGTAATCACTTCCGCAAGACTCCACAGCATGGCAATACCGGCCTGTAGTGTGTAAGTAAGGGTTATTCATACAAGTCGTGAAATAAGGGGATGAACATACAGAAGGGGCTGCAGCAATGGCACCGCTGATGTTGCCATTCTGCAGAGACGCCAACGAGAGGCCCAGGCCGATAGCGCCTAGAAGAACACCAGCAGCATGGAATCCCACTCTCGTGAATGCGGCCTTCTTCGTCTCCTCCGGAAGTGGTAATACGGGTTGCTGGCCTGGGTAGGGCTGGTAATACGGCTGGTATCCAGCAGCAACCAGCTCTTGGGGAAGAGCATGTGTCGGGGCAGGCACTGCAACAGGCGCCGCAGTCTTTTCGGTGACTTGGGGAGTCTCTTGAGAAGCCATGGCGACAAATGTTTCGGGGTTGGTGACAGAAATGGAGTTGAAATGGCAAAGAGCTGCAAAGAAGGATAAATAGAGTGCGTGCTGGTGTATAGAAGCGACGCAAATCTCCTCAGACGGGCAAAATCAACTATCGAGTAAAAGCGCAGTGAAACGAAGGGCGTGCAAAACGAAACGACGGGCTGTAACCAAAAGTGTTACAAAAGCGAGTGTATATCCCAGACTTGGGCTGCGAGATTTGCGCTGCGAAAACGAACGACAAAGCGAATGACTACAGTACGAGAAGAAATGGGAATCAACCAACATCAAAGCGAGGGCCGGCGCGCCCAGGCTATTAAAGGCAGCAGCACGGCTGAGCAACGGGGAAATTGGGCCAAGGCCCCCCATGTGTTTAAAAAAAAAATGCACGATAAATGGTGGCGAGGAGGATCCACATCCATGAAGCGACTCCTGTAGCCAAGCGCTGCTATTAACCGCAGCTAACATGCTTCTAGGCTGTGCAGCTAAAGAGGCGGCATCCAGCTTTTATGGAGTCTCTCTGCTTTGGGAGTACTCGTAAAACAAGAACAGGCCAGTGTCACCAGCCGCCATGGCTCAAGGCAAAACGCTGATGCGAGCAAATCTCCTCCTCGTCGCACATCAGTCTCGAGTCTGTGCAACGGGGCAGGGCAATGGGAAGTGCCAGTTCGAACGCCAAAGCCATTTTCAAGGTTCTCGAGACGATCCTTCATGTCCCAAAGCTCGTATGGGACATGCAAGAGCGCGTCGTGAACCTAGAAAATGGCTTTATCAGTCGAGCCGACATTCCCCATTGCCGAATCATCAAAGCATAGGTGGCCTCAAAATCTATCACTCTATTGATATCCATGCCACTTTGGACCCAGAGCCGCCTAGGAAATCTTTAGCGCCTGTCAAAAGAATATCGTGAATGGCTGGCATACCGGTTATCCTTTGCATCTTGACTGCAGTCCAATTTCTTTGAATTCGCCATATTATCGGCATCATATTTTATTCCCGTTGTAACACCACCATGAGGCCCATTATGCCCAGCATTACCGTTTTCAACCATGGGTATTCCGACAGCAGGATGGTGACATAGCCGACAAAAGGTACATATGCAATCACGCTGCCGATGATGTCGGTGCGCTCCAGGTAGTCTTGACCCTTGGCAAAGAGCTCAGTGTCGTCTGCCACGTTGTTGTCTCCCTTTGTAAGAAACTTTGCCTTGTCGCTGGTAAAGGTGTTAGCGAACATGACTAGGTAGATGGCAGGGCTTTACCTACCCATGACCGAATTTCCGCACGACTCGATGAACAATGGGAATGTCCTTATCCTTTACGTTGTAGACGACAATCTCTCCGACCGAAGTTTCGCTGATCAATTCGCGGTTCCAGAGCAAGAGCAGATCGCCTCGTTGGAATGCCGGCTCCATGCTGCCACTGAGAACGACGACGATGGGAGAGGGAGAATCAGAGACGATGGAGAGTCCTTTCCACATCTATTATTCAAGCAATCAGTTAGCTTCGTCCCACAGTTCAGAAGGGGTCTGTGACGGATCAGCACAGCAACGCACCATGAATGCTGTGGACAGCACCAGCCCAAAGTTCATGAGCTGGGCGGCGAAATTCCGCGGGTTCTGGAGACCTGCAAACATTTTCGCCTCTCTCTCTTCGTAGTGATTTGGATGAGGAGTGTCGAGTTGAGAAAGAAGAGGTTTACTGCTGGGGAGAATGGCCAAGATATAAACAACTGAAGCTGGATGTTTGTTTATGTGGTGGTCTGATGACAATGCATTGGGTCCCAAATTCAATTAATGGGCAACGATCTGGACATGGTGGCTCTTTGGAAGCTCTCAAGCCAATCAGATGCTGCGTTGGGCTGTGGGTCCCACCGGTGCTTCAAGCCTGCTCGGTACGTACCTCATTGCTGTTTTTGGAGGCTTCGGGACTCGAGCTCGATCTGCGGAGAGCGAATCTGATGTCATTGACAAGGAAGCCATCGAAAGCCTGTATGTCATCGCTTGCAATCTAGAGGTTGGGACGGGCGGTATAAATCGAGGACAGACGTCTTTTGTTGTTCCAGCTGCTCCGGTCACTACAAAGATACCATCTTCAACAGTGAAACTGAGAATTGTACCAAATTCCATCGCCGTCCAAAGCCAAATCATACCAATCCAATTACATACCCTAGAGGCAGATATTATACTACAATTGCAATCATGGAGGGTGGCAATAACAACAACAACAACAACAACAGCCAGCAGCAGCAAGGAGAGGCGGGCCTGATGGGTGCTCATGCGCAGTATATCAAAGGCGTCGGAGAGGTATGAGTTCCATCATTGCAAAGCTACTGTGTTCACTGCTCGACCTGTATCATCATCCACTAACCAATTTCCTCTCTTACAGGCAACCATTGGCAGTATCAGCGGCTCGCAAGCCTGGTCCGCATCGGGAGCACAGGATAAAGCAGCCGCCCTCGAAGCCCTGAAAAAGGCCGGTGAAAAGAGGGATCCCAACCAGGGATATGGAAAGGCCGAAGAGTGGGCTGGAAAGTTGACTGGGTGCGAGGGTATGCAGAAGGAGGGCGCGGCAAGTTCGCATAAGAGGAACGACTGAAGAGAACGGGATTGACCTGCTGCGGAACGTCTGGACAATCAGTTACGACGTTGCTGAGTGTATAACAATTGTATAACAAGGAAACCAAATACAGTATCATCAAACAATGCGAAGAAGTGAAGCTTCATTTCGCCTTCCGTTTCAATGGCTACTTGAAAGCATCTTGCCCTCGAACCTTCCACATCAACTATCGCAACTCTCTTTCCCCATTCACGAACTGTTGTTTACATGTAATCTCCTGTTTTATTTTGGATGGACACTTTTCTCGCAACAGCATCCATCATCTCTCCCTTGTCATGCCGCTGTGACTCTAACCTATCGCAAAACATCTCCTCATATTCACCTCCTCAGCTCCACGACTTGATCGGAGCGGAGCTTATTCTTTGAAGCATCATTACGGTGGTACTGTGCTACACACATCTTCTACTTTGGTAATTATACTATTTCAGCAAAACAATGGATTCCACGCCTCTACTCGTTGGCAGCAACGAGCTCTCAGCCGGCCGAGCTCTTCTACAGGACCATGTGAGTACATGCTGTTTGTTTCTACAGTGCAACATCTATGCGGTGTTGGTTCTCTACTAAAGAGTCGTCGTGAACAGCCTGTTTTCCTCCGTGCTAGCCATTCTCCATGGTGCTTCATACCGCAAAATGTGCTCGTCTTCTTCCGCGGCCTCATTCTCGCATATCTCATCGCCGCTTCCATCTTGGTTTTGAATTACGAGACTACAGACGCCGCACCAGGTGAAACAAATGCTCGCCTCTTCTTCGACTTTGCCATCATCAGCGGCGCCATGGTTCTCTTGTACTTTATAATCACGTTTGTAGGTCAAATGCACAACCTCGTCGAGTTGTCACAGTGTCTAACGTGGGTTTGTGATTGCAGTCGTGGACTTTCACCCACTTGTACTATCCGGACCCTGAAGAAATCGAGGGAGGCATTGAATCATGGGTTGTGAACGTCATGTCTCTGCCCAGAAACCTGGCTAGCCTACGCCAGCAGTTTTACTTTACGCTGTTTTACATTACTACTGTCGTCTTTTCGTTCATGAACACGGTAATTTACTGGTTCATTACGCGACCGTATGACTTGGAGAACAACGATAATGGCGGCACTGGGGATGATGATAATGGTAATGGAAATAATGGCAATGGAGACGGCAATGGCTTTCTAGCAGCTGCACCCAACACACCATGTAGGGCCATCTTCTCATGGCTTCGGTAGAAGACTCTGCTAACATGACTCTCCAGTCAGCGACATTTTTGGCGAAGGGTGGCTCAAGGCTTTTGCCATTGTCAACCTGTTCGGGATCACGTCAATCATCATGGTGTTTGAGATACTCTTCCTCAACAGCATCAGACGCCCCTCGGTGAGTTGAGCAATGCGAGTCACTGCTGCCAAATGCCAAACTAACGTGCCGCTAGACAATCAGTGCCTACCTCTTCGCCCTCATGGTCTTTGCCGGCCTCTACCTTGGCTGGGCCTACATTGGGCACGCCGCCACTGGCATATACCCCTTTTTCTGGCTTGATCCAGCAGAGGCCGGCTCCCAAGAAGCGGTGACGGCATACGCCATCGGCTTCGTCCTTTTGGCTCCAATTAGTAAGGCCCTATATCTGCCGTCCTTGTGTTGAGACGACTGACGATGGTCACAGTGTACATCTTCATGCAGGGCTTCGTTGGCATCCGAGAGTCGCTGGTTCGACCCCACGTCATCATTCAAGAAGGTCTTGGGGCCTAGATGCGAGAGTCGATGGAGGGGTAATGATGATTGCTGTACCAAAAGGAGGGGTAATGATGGTGACTCTTTGAATCTGGAGGAATCGGAGGCATCTCATGGTAGTGTGACGCATCAAGGGTCCTGACCGATGGTCGGCGGCAGTGGTTTCGCCCTATGAAAAAGCCTCATTGATGAGCTGTCAGTGTGGGGAGAGCAGCTCTAGAGTATTCTCTTTAACCTAGAACCAATTTTAGAAGTGCTTGCGTTCCTGACTAGAACCAATCCACAACCTTCTACTGCTGACATGATGCGCTGCTTGCATGGGTTCCCCGTAGACTGTAGACGTAGGAGATGGGAGTTGAAACAGGCGGTGCAGATGGTCGGTACTCGTACACGTCGACACGCCCATTGCGCCTGGTCATCTGTTTGGTCACGTCAAGATGGGTGGATGCGTGGCAGACGGCGTTTGGATCGCAGGGGACGAAACGAAACGTTGCCATGGGCGATTCAGTGTGAGGGTGAGGGTGAGGGTGAGGGTGAGGCGATGAGAAGTTCGGGGCCGCCAAACCCCTCCATGGAACACGTCACAGGTACTTTGTCCCTACAGGTTTGGAAGAGGGGTTTGGCGGGACCACGTGGTAGAGGTACCAGCAAGATGCCCGCCCAATGAAGCGCGTGCCATTTCCAAATCAAGGAGGGGAGGGGGTGATGTTGGCAAAAATGATGGGAGGGAAAGGGAAGTGAAGGGCATTTTACTTTGGACGATGTTTTGATGAGGAAAAAAAGTAAGGAGGAACGGGCAAAAAAAGATTTCGAAGCTGGCGGTTTCTTCTCTCCCGCCGGGAATTGAACCCGGGTCTCAAGCGTGACAAGCTTGCATACTGACCACTATACTACGGAAGAATGTAAACAACCTGATGGCTGCTGTAGGAAGTGTGGGTCGCTTCGATGGGAGAGCGAGTTGCTATTTGGCTATATTTAGCTTCAGGGCAAGAGAGTGTGTGTCCTATTAGTGGATGACTCTCTTTTGTGAGGGAGATGCTGTAATGCATTGTAGGGAGGTAATGTATACCGATAACAATGAGTAAAAAAGTAAAAGAGAAAGAAGAGTGACTCGGAGCAACAAATGACCGAGTCTCCTGATGCGATATGACTTGTTTGATCTTAATATTGCACTGTAGATAATGCCTTGTCTGTCTCAGTATAGATACATACGCAGGGAGTGAAGAGAGAGAGAGGGAGAGACATTTCCTGATTCGGTGCTCAGGTCGGGCGTGCTCTTGTTCACGACACTTGTTGCCCATTGATTTGGCTCGCCGTGTTATTCAGCTGCTCCTGTTCCCCGATTGGTGGCGAGCAGCAGCTGCACTTATCTCTCCCCTTTCTGCTGTACTGTACGAGTTCGAGTATTCATCCGTGAGGGGCGATACAGTAGACTCGACCATTCCGTCCAGTCATCTGCCCAGCCCTGCCACTACCAATTGGATGATGTCGACCTGCATGGCCACAGTACAACACACGCCCCAGCCCAGGTGTCGGCAACCCGCGCGGCGGTAGCTTTCCCTCGGCGGCCCAAGTACTGGGTACCTGTTCTGACGCTGGCTGCCGCCGTGGCTGTGACAGCAATTCCGGCTGCGAGATTCACGGTCAATCGGTACCTGTCGGCGGCCATCAGAGGTACAAATAGTGGATCCGTGCCCATTCTGCCTCTTCTGTCTTCTGCTTCTTCTCCTCCCCCACACGCAAGCCAGATAGGGTCGCAAATACTCTCGCGAAAGGGTCATCTTCTTGATTATAAGAAGGTGGTCTTGTCGCGCCCGGACCCCGACAATCGTTTTTCCTTTTTGTGCGTCATTCATTCATTCATTCATCATTCACATCATCTCGCTTTCCCAATCCATCCGCTCATTCCTTTATTCGTCGCTCTCTTAAGTCAATCTATATGCTAGTCTTCTGCAGACTGTGAGAGTCAGAGCGTCATATCTTATGCACAGCCAACACATCTCCCACAAAGACACCTCTTTCTTTAGCCAGTTCAAATATATACCCGCCAAAATGTTCAAGCGTGCATTCCGGTCTCAGGACCAACACCAGAACCAGAACCGGGTGGACAAGGCTCAAAGACTAAAGAAGCCAAGCTCCGCCAAGGAGCATGTCAAAGCAAAGGTGTCTAAGCTGCAGAGCTCTATCATAGAGCACGAAGCGGCACCCGCTCAGCCTATCAACATCACGCCCTCGCCGATTGTCACCCTTACCATTGGCCGCGAGGGACGTCTGTTTGCGGCACACGAGGATGTCCTCAGCCAGTCGCCCTTTTTCGAGGCGGCTTGCAGCAAGGACTCGTCTGATGCCATGAACAAGAGAATCTCCCTTCCCGATGAGGAGCCCGAGATCTTCTCGGCCGTGCTCGAGTATCTCTACAAGGGAGACTACTATCCGCGCCTGGTTCACAACAGGCACCGTAACTCCTGGGAGCTCGAGGACCGCATGAGGACTCCTCAGAAGCCACCACCAACCCCTGACAACGGCACGGGCTCCGATGCCGCCGTCTATCTCTCCAGCGTGGGGGCCGAGATCCTGCGTGACACAGTCATCTACTGTGCCGCCGACAGGTACGGCCTCGAGGAGCTGAAGCGTCTGGCTCTGCGCAAGCAAGGGCTACATGCCGGCATCGACGTCGGCACCATCCTGCGGTCTGCCCAGTACGCTTATGCCAACACGCCTGATTCGGACAGTCGCCTCCGTGCTCACTACCTTGCTCTGATCATCCGCTGCCGCAAGACGTTTAAGCGCAGCGGCACCATGCAAGCTGAGATGGAGGCCGGCGGCAGCAAGCTGTTCTTCGACTTGTTCGTTGCCATGTGCAACCACTTGGACGACGTCATTGACGTCACTAATAACCGTTCGCCCAAGACTGTATAAATAGGGCACAACGATGAAAGAACGACTTTTGCTTTTCGGCATGGGCTGAGTACATACAACAGCCGTTGGAAAGCGGAGGATTAAAAAAACAAAAAAATATAAAAAAAAACTCAACATGGTAAATCGGATCGATATAAGCTCGAGCAGGCATTTGGTTGCTTTTTCATTGCTTTTCTTTTTCTTTTACCGCTTTTTGGTTGTCTGATGTTCTGATGAGTGCAAATTTACGGGAGTCTTATCATTGCTTCATCTACGGGCCGCAATCTTTTTTTGTACGGACTGCTTGCATTGAGTGTGTTTTGCACATATCTTGGCTTTATTCCAAGTCTCGGAACTCCACTCTGCTTTCATTCTACGGCGCTAGATCGCGTCCTTGGTGTTTTCTTGCCAAGTTTTCGGGATTTTGATACAAATCTACAGCACCATGATAAAAGATGGGGGAAAATGACAGCCCGGGAGGCTTTTTCAGAACGGGATTTTGCTTGGTTTGCTTCGGCATTAACGGGTTTCTTTTTGGGCTTTGGATACAACTTACGAAATGGATAAAATGGAAGACTTCAATTACCTGGACAAGGCATTTGCTTACGGATCGAGTATTGTTAACATCTCGGACAAGATTGGACATTCAGAGCGTGCCTCTGGCTTTTGCTCTTTCTTTCTTCTTTTTTCCCTTTTAACGAAGACATGAGAAACGCTGCACAGCCCTGGGGGCGCAACGCAGGCCAAAAAAAAAAGAGAAAATATTCTACAGGGTCGCTAGCGGTCCTCCCTGACATGAGTTCCGCGTCAGGGTCGAGGTTAATGAGACAATTTCGCACCTCACATGCTTTGTTCCTTGCCAACGTGAATGCCATGTTTTTAATTTGAGAAGTCGTAAAATCACGCTCAGTGTGTATGACCTTGCTACATGTAGACAACTAGCAATTTATGCAGAATCCCACTTGACTTGGAAATCTTGAAACTTGGCCTCCAAGCTATCCGTCGTATCCTTGGCCGGTCTCGCAATCAGAGCACCAATCTCAAGCTCCCACCCTTGGCCACCATTATCCCCAAAAGGCCAATTAATCTCCCTCATCGGAACCTTTTCCTCGCCATCGACGCGATACACCCACAAGCACGACCCATCATGGGCATCCAGCCTCTCGACCAGAATGGTGACGGCCTTGCGCCCGGCCTGGATCTCCGCGGCGGAAGAGGCGTCGGCGACGCTCCAGTCGGCCCAGTTGTCGCAGCAGACGGTGGAGAGGCGAGGTTGGCCGTTGAAGTGCTCGACGCCGGCCTTGATCCACTTGCGCGGGAGGGAGGGCTTGGTGAAGATGAGGACGATGCCGGCTTGGTCGAATTGGTGGGTGTATGTTGAGGTGAATGTGATGGAGGCGGATTTGAACTGGGGGAAGGGGTTTTTGGAGAGGGATTTGTAGGGGGCTGGATGGAGAAGGGTGAGTTAGTTGTTTGCATCATGGATATGTGGTGGAGGAGGTTACCGGTGAAGACGTCGTGAGAAGGGGGTTTCTTCCAGACGTCGGTGTTGGCTGGGGCAGAAAAGGTAAATGTAGAGTCAGCCATGGTGATGATTTGTTACAATAAATTGATGAAATGAGATACGATGATGGACAAGCTGGATTTACAGAGGATTTAGTGTGTGTAGAACTAGAGAAACTAGAGCGGATGGTTTGTGAGCTTTTATAACATGAGCTGATGGAGATGCCTCACATCATCTCTGCCCCTCTACATCGTGTCCACAGCCTTTAAATCGGGGTAACTAATAAGGTCAAGTCAGATGCCAAGTACTATTTCACCGGCCTATACTGCTGTTTTCTTGACAAATACTCCGCAACTCTACAATGTTGCTCTTTAACATTTAGATCGTTTTTTAGCTTCTGGGGCAAGTCCTCGTTGCTCAGCGATCGGGGAAATGTCAAAGGTGGGGGAAGATGGAGTATACGAATCGCGTGTGGACGGGGAATGTCGGGGAACGGGACAGCATTTGGAGAACATAATCCTCTAAATCAGACGTCACTTTGAAATTTCCTCTTTTTGCCAAAGTTACGACAATGAATATTCTGCTTGTTACTCGAGTACAATGTACACAGCCACAGCGAAGAGGATGCTCAACCCGGCAAAAACCGTAGTTTCAGTGACGCATGCGGGACAGAGGGCGCGGGATGGGAGTCATGGTGACAACGAAATTATATGCGGGTTGAGCCGATAATTAAGCGGTCGGACCGACAGAACCTTTGTGAGTAAAGAGTCAAAGTTTTGCCTTGGGCTGAGAGCATTTCGCTTTCGACTCTGCAACGAGCTCGCGGCTGCAATTCTGCGCAACAAAAACTGCGCAGGCTGTTGTCTTATACTCTCTCGCATCTCGAATAAAGCTGTTTACGCCCTTTTGCCAGCTCGAAAAAAACTTTGAGGCGTCGAGATTCGAACCGGCGGCCGCCTCGAACCAGGACCACTGCCGTGACTGGAAACTCTGCTGGGCAAAACTGAATTTGCACATTTTTTCGTGCCTCTTCCCCACTCGGCCACTCTAATCCCGCCATAGTCAATTTCGGGCGAGGGCCCCGCCCAACTTTTTTTTCTCTTCATTTTCTTCTGCCCACCAGAGCGCGACGACGGATTTTTATCATCATCGGGATTCACGAAGCAGCATTTTTTTGGGCCTCAGATTTGCTTTGTATCGCTTGCGCTCATGACCTTTGAGAAACGGATGATAAGCCTTTTCCAGAGGATAAACAGTTTCCCGTGAGAACCGGATTTGCGCGGAGGAGGGAAGAAGAGCAACTTCTGTTGTGGACCGGAATATTTTTTGTTTATCGATACTCACTTCTCACTTACAACTTTTATCGCGACTCATCATCCATCGCCTCATCGACGCATTGCTTTATATCCAGACACGGCTATCAGCAGCATAGCGGTAGCCGCCATGTCGTTTCTCACACCAGCGCCGGCAAAACGGCCAGCAGGCCTGGGCAGCGGCCCTTCAAAACCTCGCTTTGCTAGACCAAATCCCGTCCGGGCCCTCCGTGAGCGTGAAGAACGCCGTCATGCGGCCCAAGCAGCAGCACGTCTTTCGTCAACGCAGAGGCCAGGCGTGGTCACCCCGGCCCATCAGCAGTGTGCCAACAAGGCCTGTCCGAAGCCCAACGTCGTCGACGGGACTTGCCAGACTTGCGGTCGTGTCGCTGATGATAGCAACATTGTGTCCGAGGTGCAATTCGGCGAGACGTCGTCCGGAGCTGCCATGGTGCAGGGAACCTTTGTCGGTGCTGATCAGGCTGGTGTTAGGGGCATGGGACCTGCTTTTAGGAGAGTGGGTGGCAGCGAAGACAGAGAGAAGAGCATCCGGGAGGCAAGAGGTCTTATGCAAGGTTATGCCCAGCAGCTCAACATCAGCGATAGTCTTGTCACTGCAGGCACGCAGGTCTTCAAGCTTGCATCTAGCGCCAACTTCATCCAGGGACGCACGCTGGCGAGTGTTGCGGCTGTTTGCCTTTATGCTGCTTGCCGTGCCGAGCCGCCTTGCAAAGTCATGCTCATCGATTTGGCCGATCTGGTCCAGCTCAACGTATTCAAGTTGGGACGAATCTTTAAGAAGCTGAACGAAGTGGTACCGATTGGAACTGATGGACTGATCCCGGTATATCCCGAAGATCTCATTTGGAGATTTGCCACAAAGATGGAGTTTCACCAAGACACAGCCAAGGTCGCCGAGGATGCGGTTCGACTGGTCAAGCGAATGAGCAGGGATTGGATGGTCATGGGCCGTCGACCCTCTGGTATTTGCGGCGCCTGTCTGCTCATGGCTGCACGTATGCACAACTTTCGACGAACGATTCGAGAAGTCGTTTACATCGTCAAGGTCACAAATCACACTATTCAGAACCGACTACAAGAATTCAATAACACCGAATCAAGTCGCATGTCAGTGGAAGACTTTTTGAAACAAGATTTCTTAGAGAGTTCACATGATCCACCTTCTTTCTATCGAAAATCGGATGAGTACAGGAAGAAGGCGGAAGAAAAATCACGAAAACGCAAGCGCGGGATCACGGGCGAAGATCCTGTACAGCCTATACCAGAACATGCAGAACATGCACCACTTAAGCGACATATAGAAGGAGGGGCAGATCTATCTAAAGCACCTGAAGTCAACTATCGCCGAGATGCTGATGGATTCATTATACCTCCTTTACCTTCGCAGATTCCTCAAGGAAACATCAATCTGAACCCTTCAAAGAATGAAAATGATGATGAAGTCGAAGGCCTAGAGGATCTTGCCGAAGAATTCGGAGATGCATTAGAAGAAGAAATTGATGACCAGGAATCTGGTGGCCGGGGCAAAGGCAAAAAGGCCAAGCCTCAGCTTCCGATTAACGAAGAATGGGAGCAGGATGAGCAGGAGCTTGAAGGAGTCATTGAAGAGATTTTCAACGATCCACTTACTTATGAACACGCCCTTGCATATTCTAATGCCGAACAGCGAGCTCGAATTCACTCGCTCTGGGCTCGTCAACAACAACCACAAAAGGAGGTGTCCATGGCAGCCGATGTCACCGAAGATGAATTTGCCGACGACCCCGAGGTCATCAACTGTCTGCTATCACCAGAAGAAGCACGGATAAAGGAGATTATCTGGGTGAATCAAAACAAAGATTGGCTCAGGAAGCACCAAGAAAAAGTGTTTCGACGAAAAATGGAGGCGGAACGGCCCAAGCAGACTCGCAAGAGGAGAAAGCGTGCCAGGATGGGAGAGGGCCAGACAAGTCCTGCCAGCTCCGCTGCCGAAGCCGCCATTGGCGTGGCCAAAGACCGAGCGTGGTCCAAGAGGATCAACTACGATGCCATTCGCAGCATTTTCGATATACCAAATGCAGGACTTGGATCTGCGGCAACGAGCCGGAAAACTAGCATTGCTGGCAGTACCTTTGGTGCCGACGATGACGCCAGCGAGGCACCTGATGAGAGTGTCGCTGGTGATGATGTCCAGGAGCATGGGGAGGAGGAAGACTACGAGGAGCCAGAAGAGTTTGGTGAGGGCGAAGAGTTTGGAGGGGGTGGTGAATACGAGGGAGGGTATGACGAGGATGATCCTGATATGGATAATGAATATGGGCTGGAGGATGACTAAGAAGCATGCATTGAGATGGCAAGACCAATCTCTTTGGACGATCAATCTTGGAGGATCAACATCTTGAAAGGATCAGCGGCTACTTGAAGGCATTTAGCGTTTAGATTTGACCATGCTTGTTCGCAGCTTTTTTGGTGGACATATATACACACCATTTTGCGAGTAGCAGTTGGCATGGCTGGGATTGATACATTCGGGGACGGGAACATATAGTCTCCATATCCACATGGTACAGACCTGTCCTTACCTACCTATTAATAGCGATATTTTGTCATAAACATCGCCCCATCATTCGTAAACTATCAGTCACTATTACTAAATTAGCCAGTCACTACAATACTCACGCAAATGTCGTCATTCAAGCTGAGCCTCCCTGGGTACTTTCAGATTCTCTCACCATATGTCTCCATGTAGGTAAAAAACACAGAAGCTTCCAGAACAGCAGCTAAGAAGAGGATGTTTCCGAATATGGTAGTTCTTTGGAGAAAGAACGTTTGTTGTTGAGTGTGGCGGTTTTGAGCTAATCTTGAGAAGAGGGTGTGTACTCTGCAGGTGCAGGTTTTGGAGCAAGGCGAAATATGCGGCTCTAAGACATGGAGGGACGGATGTGGTACGGTACCCTGTAATAACGGAGAGTACTCGTACCTACCCAGTAGTTTGTCTGGAGAGTAAGACATTGTAGCTCTCTAGTTCGTATGACTTATATTCTTGATATTGTAGTACTGGCTAGCAATATTGGCCAAGTCGGAGATGGATTGGGCAAGAGGTATGGCGGCAGAGCCATGATTGCGGATAATCACATGTAGATGAAGCTGTTTCGGCTAATATAGGCAACTTCTCTCGCTTGTCCAGTAGAAAGAAAACGTGTCATGATGTAATGGATAGCAATGAAGAGGAGGTGTTATGGTATGGTATTCAGCAAGGAAGTAAAGATGACCAAAGTACGAGAGACATCATGTACAGTAAACCAGCGCTCGCAAAAGTTATCCTTATTGAGAAGCCACATCATAATGATACTCTGCTGGACATTGCTGCATGCCAAACCCTCAGTTGGGAGCGGGAAGCACGGCAAAGGCCGCAATGGATCTCAGAATGCAACGCAATGCGCATTGCAGTAGCTGCGTAGCACTCAATGCAACCTACCCTATAATTGAAGCAAAATTTTCATGTAATCTGAATATCTTTCTTATCATGATATTATATCATGATATTATCATTAGCTTAGGAATGAGTCAATGTGTTTGTTATCTTGTGGATTCCATAATCAAAGAGTGGTGAACTGTCAAAGCATCTTTGAGAGACTCACATTGGAAGCAACGATTCGTTGCAATGCTATGAGAATAGGTAATCTTATGATGCACGTCCGCGGAGTTGGAATAGAAGCTTAGTAACTTGTTATGCCCCAGTTGACCGCATAGCTTGTTTACTCTTGAAACATTTTCACATTCCGTATCCGTACATTGAGCCGTCACGCTCTCGTCGGGCATGATTGGCGCCAAAGCTTTCCTCTTTGGCGTCGATTACTTTAGCGCATAGATCGAAAGGCGCGTCGTTCTACGCCTTGAGGTAGAACAAGTTAGAACGAAATTGGGTACCTTTGCGCAGAGGATAAGATTCATCTAGCCTCGCAGTAGTTTGCCTTGTTTGAAGCAAGTTGCACCTCTGCTGACATGTCCGGAGTACTGTATGATGCTCGTGGATGTCCTGATTGTGATGTAGTAGCCGTGGCCTCACTTCATGGAGCCTTGTCTTCCATCTTCTGCCACATTGAGGACTCACGTTCTTATCGCCGGCTCGTATTCATGTTCTCATGCTGAGTGACGCCCAAAGGTCAGCCGGGTGTGTTGCTTCATATTGCCTGGTAAGTCCTGATCTGATATTACGCCGGGTGAGAGTCCGCTTTGTCCCACCGAGCAGCTCGGTCATCTTCCATCCAGCAGATGCCTATGATAGTTGACGATTGCATCATTGGCCGTGACAAGCGCGGCAGTCTGAAATAAGGTCTATCACATGCGATCTAAGTCGGGTTGACTAGCATCCCCCTTCTCCCTTTTTCGGGTCTCGCGGGGGAAAGGTGGGATGGGGCTGAAAGAGATACGAAGGACGAACAGCAGAGGCTGAAGGAAATACAATGACAAGCGGCCGCAAGAGAGGGCCTTTGTCAATTGCCTCCCGTTTTGGGAGGTCGGTAAGGATGTCTATTGGCTCTCGAGGCCGGCGTCGATGAAACGAACGTTGATAACAGCCCGAAGCCCAGGGCCTTTTGACGCTGCCACCTGCACCGTTTGGATGATCGTCCTTTGTCTGCGTTGAAACGCGAGCTGAGAGCGTAGTTGATGCCTCATGAGCCACCTTCCAGAGCTGTCTTGGTCTCCGAGTGGCGTCGCCTGGATAGGGACCGGGGTCAGGGCCCGACAAAGAGCGACGCCAGGACTGAAGCAGATTGGCGGCATGGGGTTTTGGTTCGATGCTGTGTTTAAGCTTGCCAAGCTGTCTGTATCGAGGGCCTACTCACACACACACACACAGGCACAGCATGTAGCCAAGACCTGCCAGTAGCATTTTGCTTGTCTGCCGGCATTTTGGCACATTTTCTTGGCGATGCGTGTGACGGGATCGGCTGTCGGCTTGGACGGTCTGGGCAGCTGGAGATATTTTCCGCCTGGGCAGGGGCTTCCAGAAGCTACAGTATTGAAGCCGTGATGAGTGCGTGTCTGGTGTTCTGTACGTAGAAAGAGAAAAAAGACGGCTGTATTGGCAGGTGTTGAAGCAGTATAAGACAGAATGAGGCCAGACTCTCGGACCAAGTCCTATCGCTGCCATCACGTGCCGTAGGCGATACAAACCTCTCTCTGGTCTCTCGTATTGCAGCGTCACATTCACAACAAGACAAAAACTCACTTCGTGCAACTTCCGTGACAAGCAGCCTCCAGTTTCGGCCGGTTCCGCCATGCTTCGTTGCTCCGAGGGCGTAATTACTCGTACTTGTGCAGGCACAAGACTGCCAGCAGCGGCTGGACACAAGGCCGCCATGCAACAGCCAATCATGGCCGTGACGCCCAGCAGCGATCCCTCTCGAGATTCCAGGACCCCGTCAGCTCCATGCCGAATACCCGGCCGCAGACAAGGGCCCAGAGCGTTCAAGAGCCAACGGCGAGCCTTGGGCGAGCCCTGGGGCGGATTCTGACCCCTGTCCGGCAGCTCTACTGTACGAGTAAAAGGCGCCGCTGGGACCTTTTGGACATGCCGCTCTGGGCTTGAGCTGGCTGTAACGAACTTCTGCGCGCAGTGGCTGGCCGGAGGAGATTGCAGATGGCGATTCTGCCACAAGTTCCCACCCCTGACTGCCGGATGCCAAGTCGATGCCCATGGCCAGTAGTGCCAGAGCCAAGGCCCTGAGGCAGGTCAAGCGACCCCCCCGGATCGGAGCCTACAGCAGATTGGGCTGCTATTTTCCGGTCACCGGCCCTCTCTGATTGACGGGTTCGCGGATTAACATTAACTAAGGGATTAAACTTAATGGGGTTTCTTGGCGGTTGATCCCTGGCCGATTCCGCTAGTGCCTTGCTTTGTTTTGTATGTACGGACCACGGGACAGATCCGAGGCACGGCATGGCACGTCTTGGCTGGCTTGGCTCAATGTTGACGTGAGTTGTGTTATGAGAGTTTGCTGCGTGTGTTTGCGGCTGGATAGGTGACTGATGGGGGACTGAGCAGTGGGAATCAGTGGAACATCATGGCAACATCGCTCGGGCAGGTTGGGGTTAGCCTCGTCGTCTGTCTCCGGATCAACTTCATCGCAGCAAAGACTGCGGCGCAGCATTTCCGCCGAAGTCGCGTCGGCCCGCTTCGCTACGAGACCCAAGTCATGTCACGAAGCACGGACTGCGATTCGAGTGTCAGGAAGGCGCTTGCTTGATAGAGATCGGCATTGGGGAATCCTCGTTTCAAGGGCCCTTCTCCCCACCGTTAAAGCCGCAGACGACAATAACCCCGGATTGGACGGAGCGCCTATGGTGGCGAGGACTATTGTCAAAGAACCATCTGTACTATCCCCCCTCTGGAGACCGCCTTGGAGCGCCGGTCCCCGATCCAGTAGTTGTGGCCATGAACTAATACTCTGGACTTCTATCTTGGGATGAAGGACGATACGTGATCGACAAAGGTTCCAGAGTCTCCATTGAAGCAAGGCAGAAATGGCAATACGCTCTCGGCGGGCTTCACTCTCTGGGCTAAACAACTAGGCGCCTTCTCCACCCCTGGACGTGAGAGTTTGATTCGCCCACAGCCTGGTGACTACGAGCTATCAGCTATCAAAGCTGGATACTGATGTCGATTCCACCATCTTGACTCCTCTCCCCATCACCAAGCCCCAGCAAGTGTGTGAATACCCAGGATGATGGCGCAAAATGACCTTCCTAAACCATGCTCTTGAAGCCGTCAACAAGGCCGTGGAGCTGAGCAACTCCAATATCTTTGACCTCAAAGATAGATTGGCATACGAGCCTGGATGGATATAAAGTCGTTCATCTCCCCTCGATCTGGTGTTGAACTTTTTGTCTCATCAGCCTTCAAGACAATCAGTCTAGTCAGCTTCTTCATCCTTCAAAATGCAGACCTTCGGTGCTTTCCTCGTTTCCTTCCTCGCCGCTAGCGGCATGGCTGCGGCTCTCCCCACTGAGGGACAGAAGACCGCTTCCATCGAGGTTGCTTACAACAAGAACTACGTTGCCCACGGTCCTACCGCTCTCTTCAAGGCCAAGAGAAAGTACGGCGCTCCCATCAGCGACAACCTGCGCGCTGCCGTGGCTGCCAAGCACTCCCTCACCAAGCGCCAGACTGGCTCTGCCAACACCAACCCCAGCGACAGCGCCGATGACGAGTACATCACCAGCGTCTCCATTGGTACTCCCGCTCAGGTCCTCCCCCTAGACTTTGACACCGGTTCCTCCGACCTGTGGGTCTTCAGCTCCGAGACTCCCAAGTCTTCCGCCTCCGGACACGTTACCTACAGCCCCTCCAAGTCTTCCACTGCCAAGAAGCTCTCCGGCTCTACCTGGTCCATCGAGTACGGTGACAAGAGCAGCTCCAGCGGCGATGTCTACACCGACGTTGTCACCATTGGCGGCTTCAGCGTCAAGACTCAGGCTGTTGAGTCTGCTACCAAGGTTTCCACCCAGTTCGTCCAGGACACCGTCATCTCCGGCCTCGTCGGTCTTGGCTTCGACATTGGCAACCAGGTCTCGCCCCGTCCCCAGAAGACCTGGTTCTCCAACGCTGCCAGCAGCCTGGCTGAGCCCCTTTTCACTGCCGATCTGAGGCACCAGGAGACCGGAAGCTACAACTTTGGCTTCATTGACACCTCTCTCGCCAAGGGCACCATTGGCTACACTCCCGCTGATGGCAGCGAGGGTTACTGGGGCTTCACTGCCACCGGTTACTCCGTTGGCGGTGCCCAGCTGAACCGCAACTCCATCACCGGTATTGCCGACACTGGCACCACCCTGCTCCTCCTCCCCGACAACATTGTTGACGCCTACTACAACAATGTCGAGTCTGCTGAGTACGACGACTCCCAGGAGGGTGTTGTCTTTGACTGCTCCGAGGACCTCCCCTCTTTCTCCTTCGGTGTTGGTGGCCAGACCATCACCATCTCCGGCGACCTCCTGAACCTCACCCCCATCGAGGAGGGCAGCTCCACCTGCTTCGGTGGTCTCCAGAGCAGCGCTGACATTGGTATCAACATCTTTGGTGATGTTGCCCTCAAGGCTGCCCTGGTTGTCTTTGACCTCGGCAACGAGCGTCTCGGCTGGGCTCAGAAATAAGCGAATGACTGGAATGGGATTTGTTTTATGAAGGTTATGATTTGAAGGGATGAGGTGGAAACAAAAAATTGGGGGAGACTATATATGGCTCTCATGATTTGTAAATACGATATCATGTTGTATATAGCCTTGGGAATTTTAGCACATAGCGAAGCAAAAAAAATTATATTCAACTGGGAATTTTTGAGTTTGTCTTTGAGTGAAACAGGATTGTAGCTGATATTGTGAATTATGGTTGATGGCTCCTTGAGTTTGTTGTAAAAGCAGTATTCGGTAATGGTTTCGGGGCCTTGATAAAACGGTAACTGATAATGTAATAGGTCTTTAACGGTTCTTTGTGAGGTTGAAAAAGCAATATTTATTGGAGGTTTTGGTATTTTCGTTAAACATAACTCATGTCGTGTCATACAATAAAGATGTCAGTGTAAAAGGCCAAGGTAAATCTTCGTTTCCAGCAGTACAAGGCCACCAGATCCACAAAAAGTAGAAGTTGAAACTGAGACACTCTGTTTTAACAGTTAGAGGAAGGCCACCAAGACTGGTTGATTAACAGTTAGAGGAGGTGGGCCACCAGGACTGGCTGACCAGTCTCTGTCGCGCGCGACGAAGTTTGTGCTTCAGAACCTCGAAGAGGACGAGCAAGCCGGCGAGCACACCTGCGCCTATTCCCAGGCCCAGGTTCGCGTCGTGGCGGAGGAAGCCCCCGAGACAGCCGGACGCGATGGAGAGAAGGACTATTCCGACGCGAAAGATGGTTTGCCATTCTCTTTGGAGAAAGGTTCCCTCGTTTTCTCTGGCTTGGAGCTGTGTACCTGTCTGGGTTGAACGTGTTAATATGCTGATTTACGCGTGAGAGAAGTAGGACTTACTGGAGTAGAATTGTTGGAACTCATTGTAAAGTCCGCTACAGGCCCGAAGGGAGGTTCCTCGGGAAGAGGAGCTTCGGGAGGAGCCGTTTCAGTAGGATCAGGCTGGACAGGAGCCGCAATCAGCTCAACGTGACTGGTGGAAGAAGAAGAATCTTCAGAACGGACGCTCTTGATCTCGATGGAGTTCATGGTTGTAATGAGTGTTGATTTGAAAGATTGAAAAGGAAGGAATGTATGTTTAGAGAGAGTATGGGCTCAGAAAGAATGAGTGGATTTGTTTTCAGAGCGAATGGAGATGAGACAAAGAAGAAATAATGCAGAAAAGATCAGGGGAGGAGACGCCTTTATATGGACATGGATAATATGGCATATATTAAGATCTCGAATCTCTGCGAGCAACTTGGCTGTCTTCGAAACAGCCACAAAGAGAAAGGGGTAGGGGAGGGGGTGGGCGAGAGCCGAGTCACTTGGCCATGGTGACCCCTAGTGGTATATGCGAGCGCAAAGACATCGGTAACTAGTCGAGTATATTGCTAAAACTGCCGACTACGACGTCTATGTGCTCTCACTTCCTCCTGGTTTAGCCACGCTCCCCTCCATCTTCACTATCCCCTCCTCTTCGAATTTTCCAATCTCCTCTGCTTTAAGTGTAATTCAAATTTGGAGGCAATCTAGATACTCTACGTTACCTTACTCTTGCTATGCTAGATGCCAGACCCGGTTTTGACGAAGTTGCTTTGCCATGCGTGGAGATGCCCTCCAGGTACCTGGACAGTCAGCCCACTGACAACTCACCATTTGCGCCACCGGGGGGCATGGGCAGGAGGGTTTTGGATGGACAAGAAGTTTCAACCAGCATTGGACTTGTTCGAAACAAAGGGTGTCTACTCCAGCTTCATCTCTGGCGTTGTCGAAAAGCTAACATAGGCCGCCACGCGTGGCCCGGACATGGCGTTCTCCTGTTGAGGAGAAGTCTTGTTTTAACAGAACAATGTTACTCGATAGAAATCTGGGGAGAAAAAAAAATCTGTTTACGCGTTGTCTTAATCAACTTGGGGATAGAACAAGCGAAAAGTTGCGCGGGGAGAAGGGGGCAGCCTCCAAGTGGTGGTGATTGGGTGGCTGGTCTTGAAGACCAATGACATGACTTTGGGTCGAAACGACTGGAATGCGGCCTGTGAACTTGTGGATCTCTGGAGTTTCTATCACATCGTTTGCCACTTCGAAACTGACAACGCTATTAATCGCAGAATTGTGTGACAGCTGCAGTACATGTACCAAGGATGCCACTACCAAACTTTTCACGGCGGGAGATGCTCACCGTCTCATACGCTAGACAGGGCCATTTTGATGGGACCTGGGAGATCGGTGAACTTGCCTCAACTGTGTGCAACTACCTTCCAAGCGCGTGGCGTGGCGTCTCAGAACTGCTGCGCCTGAGTCAAAGAGTAGACTAAACACCACCACACTGACAACGTGGTTGGTGATGTCATACATTGACGGTATTACTTGAGAATTTGCCTCTACCAATCGGTACACCTGCCTTGGTAAGCTGCCTCCGTGGTAAAAGTTGCGGCGAGAGTTGAGAGTAAACGCCAGATTCACGCTCCCGATCATTTGAGCCAGGGGTCGAACTTCGAGAGCCGAAGGGTGGAAGACCATCTTGGCTACATGTACCAGAATTTGCCCCTGATAAGAGCGGAATCTTCTCCGGTCGTGGGTTGCAAATCTACTTGATGTGATTTAGGGTGGTTCAGCTGTTAATTGAACCTCTCAATGTGAAGACTCTACGTCTACAACAACTCGTCCGTCTGCAATGCCTTCATCGATTCCATCCTCGTTATCCTCTAACCATCTCATATAAAACTTAGAACTCTCAAGGTATGTCATCAAGTGTAGCTTGGTTCTCCACATCTCTATCAACTTGAAGACAACTGAGAAGCCTTTTTGCTAGCTTCGACTGAGACTGCCGCTGAGAAGTGATGAGGGACCAGGGGGGGAGTCTCATCATTGGCCAACCTCTGGATTCATCCATTCCGTTATGCTACTCCCTATACAGTCTAGAAACTGCAAAATTCGACAGCCACCGGAAGGAGAAGAAAAAAAAAAAAAAGAAGAAGCGGAACCACGTGGCATGCAACGCGTACCTTCATCCCCCCCGGATTGGAGCCGCTGTCAGATGGTAGCAAGGTGGTACAGCGGCTGGGTTCGGGGCTTGGGGAGAACAACTTGTTCCTGAGTCCAAACTATGTTTAGTTTAGTATGGCATTTAAAAGATCGGCCACTTTTGCCTTTTGTAGAAGTCTGCTGCTCAGGAAGACTAGTTCTTTATCTTGTTGCCACATCCAACATCATCAGTACCTATGCAAAGGGGATATATACACAGTACAAGCTGAGCCAGCGGGCTGCCATGTTTCCAGCCTCAAGCTAACCTCCACTCCGACTTGATTGTTGCAGCTTTGCCTGTTTCCTTGTGAGCATCAGTACCGAAATTCCATGCGACTGGTGTTTACAAGTAAGAACAACGTGTGGAGTGCAGACCGGGACGTCCGACTCGGGGGACTTGCCTGACAAGCTTTTAGGGTTGTATTAAGCTCCGGCTGTCGCTCATACTAGTCTCCTTAGACATTGCGCATGGCGTCCACCAACCTCTACTTGTAAGGCAACCCGAAGGTGGCTATGCAAAGAAGAGCCTGAGGCATGCTGGAGTTGAACAGCGCTCGAGGAGTCTGCAGATGGACTAGCTATGAGGAGTAGCATCAACAAGATCTTGCTGGTAATGCATGCGGGGTGATGCTAACAGAAGGACTGCCAGACTCCCTCCCAGGGCTCCGGAGATGGCTACCTCTCTAGGTAGAATCTCCATGCCCTCGGCCTGTAGACCTGTCGCACGGAGGGCAGAATCTTGGAATCTTCGATCTCATTCCCTATTGCAGCCAAGGTACGAGGTAGATAGGCTTGGTGCGTTCTGAGTGCGCTTTTGCATTGTCTGTGAGAAAGTAATGTCATCTCGTTGGTACCTATTTGGGGGTTTGTGGCAAAAGTCCAGTAAATTGAGACTCTAGTCATTCGATAGTGGTTGTATGAATTGTCTGGAATGTTGCCTCGGAGTCATAACTGGAAACCCATTTCCAACTTTAGCATTTGGTAACATAAGAGGTAGCACTCTAAGTATGAGAGTACTCAAGATATTTGAACTTCTTTGGAGATTAAATTGCCATCTAAATAAGGCTGGTATCAATGCTTGGGCCCCTCAACGACCCCTTTCTTCATCATTTATACACCAGGCGGTTACATCGAAACAGCGATGCACGACGCCTTCACCAGCCAACAATTATCCTTTCCAACTCCTCAAAATAATAATAAAAATAAACGCCCAGTAATGCGGTTGTGTTTCAAAATCATCTCTCTAATCCTCAAATAGTCACCAGCCCAGGACGTTGAACCAGCTTTTGCGAGGGTCCTCGACAGCGCCATCGAACACCTTTTGGCGAACGGCTTCGCTCTCGGGGTTCTTGTACTTGGCAAAGAAGCGGTCCTGGGTGGCTGAATGAGTCTTCAGTTGGGAGCGAACATTTAGCGCGACGGCAGAGACTGAAGTTAAGTCGTTGTTAGTGGATGCATGGCGGAGTAAGGCTGAAGTACCGTTGATGACTTACTGACGCCGACGGCGATGACGGCTGGGAAAGCCCTGGCGAGGGGGCCTGGGGCGGCGACGGGGATCTTGGCTGGTTGAGTGACCATTTTGGCGGCTTGTGTTATGTTAGACTGTGATGTCTGGATGTGTATTGTGTTGTGTTGTATTGTATGTAGCTTGGTGATGGCCGCGCTGGTGTAAGTGAAAAACCACTAAAGATGGCAGAAGATGTTTTGCTTTTGTGTATGTATATGTAGTCAATGTGGACTGCAGTGCATCTGAGATTTAATTCTCCCCATCGCAGCCGTCAATAGCATTTATAAAATCGTATAAAATTGGTCTTGCCTGCTTCTCCCGAGCGTGGTGTCTTGATTTCGCGATGTTGTCTGTTGATAGTCCGAGAGTGGTGTGTTGCGCTAGACTGGTGGTGTGATTTCTGGCTTACCCAAGCAGTGAGGTCTGCTCACTTCTCACCCCCAAAACGGGCTTCTCCAAAGCTGCCAAATTTGCTTTTGGGCTTACACAGCCTAAAATCCCTGTATGTAAGGCTTGTTTGAGCCATATTCGGACAGGATCTGGCTGTTCTGTCCCTGGATTGGTTCGTACTGTAAAGATGCCTTGGAATAGGTGGCCGGATTGGGCCAGATCGGAATCTTGTGCGCTACAGGATTCTGGCTGTCGAACGATTCTTACCCGATATGCAGCGAAGTGGTCATACAGTAAGTAAGCATGGAATTTAATTCGTTCGTCTCAAACACAGCGCTGCGTAATTTGCAGCTGAACCAGATTCTTGGATAGATCAAATGGCACGTTGACTACAGGTATCATTCGTATCGGGAGTCATCGTAATTAGATTGACGCAAGCAAGGATATTTGCCGAAGATGGGTTGACTTGAATGATCAACGACGTAATGAGAGATTCCGTAATGAGAAAAAAAGAAGGAATGCCAATTATTTGATCACGCCATGTTTTGAATCCTTTTCATTGCTGGTGTTGTTGCTCATTGGGGGGCCGGCGCTCTCCAGGCGGGAAATTGTGATTGACCCGGTCAGCTCGGTCAGGAGATTGTCGGAGCCTTCCGGCGCACACTGTTGACGAAATGAGTCTTCTATAGCCGTAATAATCCATGGCTGCAAATTTTTACTATTCGATGCAAATTTTCCTGACATGTGCTTGCAAGACTTGCTTTTTCATCTAAATTTGATGTGTGTAACACGACAGTTGTTACAACTCCAGCAATCAATTTCTATTGAGAGGACTTGAAGGCCACACATCTAGTTGCGCCCTTGGGTCTCTCTGTCATCAACAACTTTCACCTGGATCTCGACGCGCATCTACAACAGATGCCTGAAACATGAGAGCTCGAATGCGCCATGCCTGCGCGACCTCGTTCCTCAAAGCGATGAGCTTCAAGGGCCTTCAACGTCCTCGGTAGGCTTCCTCTGCATCATGAAGGCCGACTGGATCGCCACCCTGCCGGAGCCGGAGCCGGAGCCGGATCTCTCTCCAGGTGCCTCTACCCCGTACTTTTGGGGCATTTTACAGCCTCAGATTTGCTGGACAGCGGGGGGCTGACATAATGCCTGTCCTAATAATTGACAGTTGGGGTATTTTCAAAACTTGGAGCTTGTTGCCCCTCTAACACGGCAATAAGAAGAAGCGGCCCAAGTCATTCCTTGCATTATGCTTTTTGAGAATTGTTGCTACAGCTGATTCTACTGCTTTGCTGAGCTACCGGAACAATCAATGAGCTCTGTGGCACCGGATAAGAAGCCCCGTGTGGCTGTTGTTGGGAATGTGAATCATGTTGGCGATGACTACTTAAAGAGCGTCAAAGCAGAGCTGGATATCGAGGTGAGTACTGAGATTGTGAATCATCCCATTAGTCTTTCAAATAACTCACGCAGAAGGGTTTGTTCAAGTTTCTTCAATCGTCCAACCGGCAACAACTTCTGGAGGAGCTCCCTCGCTTCATCGCCCAGTCAGGCCCAATAGACGCTCTCATCTGCACCGTTGATACACCCTCTCTGAAGCCTCTCAATGAAGAGCTGTTTTCTGCCCTTACTCCTCACTGTCGCGTCATTGCCTCTGTGTGGGCAGGCTACAACGAGTTTGACGTTTCATGGATGACAAGCCAAGGCATTTGGTTCTGCAACACTGTCGATGCTGTGGCCGAAGCAACGGCCGACATGGCCATCTTCCTGACGCTGGCCGTGATAAGAAACACGTACGTTGCGGAGAAGAGAATTCGGGCAGGGTTATGGTATAACGGGATTGTGCCTACCAAAGATCCGACGGGGATGACGCTTGGAATTGTGGGCATGGGGAGCATCGGCAGGTATCTGTCCGTCAAAGCCAAGACGTTTAACATGAAAGTCAAGTACTTCAACCGGACGAGGCTGAGCGCTGAGATTGAAGAGGCATGTCATGCCGAATACTGCTCTTCATTGGAGGAATTGCTCTCTCAAGCAGATGTGGTATCGATTAACTGCCCTCTTACACCGGCGACACGGAATCTCATTTCGCATGCCGAATTCAAGATGATGAAGGACAGGGTGTTTCTCATCAACACGGCGCGAGGGCCTATTGTTGATGAAGAGGCGCTGATTGAGGCCTTGGAGAGCGGCAAGGTCGAACGGGTGGGACTAGACGTGTTCACCAATGAGCCCAACATCAACCCGTACTTTAGGACGAGCGACAAAGTGGTACTGCAGCCGCATATGGGAGGTTGGACAGTGGAGGCGATTCGTAGGGCTGAGAAGGAGTGTTTTGAGAATGTCTTGAAGTGGAAGAGAGAGGGGAGACCAGTTGCGCCGGTGAATGAAGTATGAAGAAGAGAGATTGAGAGGAATGACAGCTATAGTGTTGTGGAATATTCAGATATGAAGGTTGAATACAATGCTAAAACCTCGTCCATCACTTGGAGTTGCATGTGTCATCTTACAAGTCTCTTATGTGATCATGGTCTCGATTCCGATTCCCTGCATTATTTGACAACACCTGCTTCTATCTACTCGTATTTGCACCACTATCAAGTCTCTTATCTTCTAATCACAGAACACAGAAACAGAGAAAACGCAACCCCAGTCATGAACCCCGGCTAAAGCTAACGTTAAGCCCATGTCACCCCCCTGGACAAGCTTGATTCCACATGGACCTTGTCAAGCGGAGGACAGAAAAAGCGAGACTACGAAATAAATACGTACATACATTTAGTAATATAAGCACTTAAATAGCTCGTAGAACATCTACTTAACCAGCACTCGAACTTTATTATTAAGATAGATATAGTAGCAGTTACTAGGAATATATAGATATAGCAGCTACTCCTTTTGTAGGCGTATGGTTTAACTTGTGTGTGTTCGAAATCTTCCTGGTCCCGCTTTTTCTATCCTCCGCTTGCTTGTTTCCACCTATGCTAAGCCCTTCTCGCCCTTTTCTTAGCGCTCGGAGAGAAATCGATCAAGTCATCGCGTCAATGGGCGAGCTTTTGACGTCTTGGCGGGTTGCACCCAATATGTATAATACACGAATTAGGCAGGACGGCAGGCCATGGCATGTGAAATACGGGATTTAGAAGGAAACGGGTCGGTGAAAAGGTGGGAGAAAGAAGGTGAGAGAACTAGAATGGAAGATAATTTTCACATCTTGCTTCGCTAGTGGGTTCGTTGATTGGGCCTTGACCATCGGTATGCAGCAGATGAGGATGAGCTTCTTATTTGGGTGAACTGCCGACAGCTTCTTTTTTTATTCTTTTTGCTATGGAAACTTCTGTATCTACGTAAATCTACAAACGTATAAATGAATGCTCCGAGAAATGAATCTTTTGTATATTCCCCAAGTTGAAGAATCAGTCAGCATCATCAACTTGTGCCACAATGAAAGCCTCTACACTCACATCGCTATCTCTTTCCTTCCTCTCAACCGCCTCATCCACGGCTGCTTCTTATTCTCGTCCTCCGCTTGTCGTTGATGTAGCCCCCAACCATGTCCGTCCCTATATCCTGCCTCGCTATAAAGGCCATGCTATCAAGTTGACCACCTCTGGCCAAATCATCCGCTTCTCCATCACCACAAATTCTTCTGACGGCGCCTTTGCCGTTGTCCAGCACACCAGCAAATGGACAGGCTGGACTTCTGCGCGCCCTCATACTCACCGCGATGCCCACGAGCATTTCTACTGCTCCAAGGGAAGAGTCGAGCTCTGGACCAAGAAGAACGTGACAGGTGCCATTGATGAGGCTCGCGTCATGACGCTGGGTGATTTTGGTACTGCTCCGCCAGGCACGATCCACACATTTCAGCACACGGATCCAGACAGCCAGCTTACGCACATCTACAACCCAGCCGGGTTCGAAAAGCTATACAACGTCTTCAGCATCGGAGACTTTGATTCCCCCCACGGGTCCCCGTATCAGTTGATCGGAGACGACCAGCAGCCTTTTGGCGATGTCACGCCTGAGCAAGAAGCCCAGCTCAACTCGCTCGACTTGTACGTCGCCCAGGCCGACGTCTACGTGCCGCGACGAGACTTTGTCAATGGCACTGCCGGCAATCCCAGCATCAACTGGCACAACAGCAACGTCTGGAACAACGGCAACAATTCGCTGTCCACGGATCCTACAGATCCTTACTACATCGCCAAAGACTACGGGCCAAAGTACCTCAACAGCGAAAACGGCTACAAGGTCATCCAGACACTCCTCACAGCGGAGCAAACCCCTTACAAGAACTTTACCATCAGCACTCTCACGCTGTCTCCGAGACTCAAGGGCGACAAGACCAACGTCGCCAAGCTGCCTAACCACTTTGCCATCCAGATGGACGAGGGCCAGCTTGCTCTGACGATTCAGGGCTACAAGACGGAATATCTTCTCCCGGGAGACGTCGCGTTTATTCCTAAGGGCACTCGTTTCGAGTATTATGCCACTGTGCCGTTTACAAAGTTTTTGTTTCTGAATGGCGGAGCGAAGGGGCTGGATTATGAGTTGTTGGCCAAGGCGGTGCCGTGGGATTTTCCCGCTTATCCTGAGTGAAGATGGAAGAGGACATCGACACTGGGTATACGAAAATTGGGTAGCTAGTAATGAAACGACTTACATGATGAGATATAAGTTGACATGATTTGATATGATGGAAAAAGTATTTGATTCTGTCTCACAATCTCAAAGGTCTCCGCGAATCACATTGAATGGTAAATTAGGCTAATTCCTGGCAATGCAGCCAATCCAGAGCGACTTACACGGACATGCCTTGTCCACTTATCTCAATGTCGCAATACTACGCTATCGTAGAACCAACAGAGTGTAGATCAACTCTCTGCAATTGTCATCAGTAACGCAGTAAATCTCACAATTTCGCACACATGCATTTCCTTCATTGTAGTTTACATATACATACTTGTTGAGTTGCCACGTGGAATCTGTGTAACCACTCTCTTTGGTCAAGCCCGCTTTCTGTTTGCTTCTGTTTGCAGCTAGCTTTTCCCTCTTCTTTTTCATAACAGAACAGACAGAGAGAGTTTTCCATCTTCTCAGCTGCGTCAGCCTTGTCACATACAGCAATGGCTCAACTACCACCCTCCAAAGACTCTCCCATCATCATCATTGGGGCAGGCGTCTTTGGCCTCAGCACATCCATCCATCTTGCCCAGAGAGGCTATACAAACATCACAGTCTTTGACAGTAAGCCTTATGATGAGACGCTGTACTCTTACTTTGACAGCTGTGACTCTGCATCCTCTGGTTCGTTGTTCCCCTTCCTTGCGGAAACCATCAACAAAGTCAACTGATCTCCAACTTACAACTCACATAGACATAAACAAGATTATTCGCTCAGCATATGGCTCTCAAACCGAATACCAGGATCTCAGCACCGAAGCTCTCTCTGCTTGGGCAGCCTGGAACGCAGAACTCAAGGCTGCCAACGACAACAATCATGATGGAGATGGCATCAAAGGAATAACTCCCAACAGCTCTCTCTTTATTCCAAACGGCTATCTTAATTGCAGCGATTCCACCACCCTCCCAAACTTCGAGATTGCCACTATTGAAAACATGGAAAAGGCTGGACACCACGGCTCGCAGCTCATCAATAACAAACAAGCCGATATCCAGCTCGCCTCACAAAAGGGCATCGAATATGCTCTCCAACCATTTAGCAAAAAAGTCCTCGGCGTTCTCGACACTACAGGCGGCCATGTCCTTGCCGACAAAGCCTGCATTTTTGCTCTTCACAAGGCAAAGAAACTCGGGGTGCGCTTCATCCTAGACCCCGTACTGGGCAAATTCACCTCCTTCGCATACGACTCATCATCGAACTCCACCACCAAAACCATCACCGGTATCACCACCGCGGACGAGAAACATCACCCAGCATCTCTCGTCGTCATCTGCTGCGGCGGTTGGACACCATCACTTCTACCGTCCCTCGACTCCCTTTGCGAAACGACCGCCGGTTCTGTTTTTATGCTTCGTATCCCGGAATCGTCGCCCCTTCGCCAGCGCTTCCATCATTCGCGCTTCCCTTCTTGGTCGTTTAATATGCGTGAACATGGTGCTGACGGAGGCCTTTACGGTTTCCCAGTTGATGAAAACGGCATCTTCAAGATTGGGTACAGGGGAACCAAGTATATAAACCCTCAACAGCAATACGATGGACAAGAACGCAGCGTACCCGTAACCAAATGGAGTGGCAATCTAGGCGAGACTGCAACACCAGTAATGAATCAAGTTCCCGAACAAGCCCACAAAGTAGTCACCAAATTCCTGGATGAATATCTCCCCGAGTTGGGCAACGCTGGAATCCACATCTCAGAGAGCCGCCTCTGTTGGTACACAGATTCTTTCGACAATCACTATGTTATCGACTATGTCCCTGGATATGAAGGTCTTGTATGTGCGACGGGGGGAAGTGGACATGCGTTCAAATTTCTCCCCAATATAGGTAATTGGGTGGTTGATGTGATTGAGGGTGTTGGATTAGAGCGGCCTGCTATCAAGGCGTGGAGGTGGAGATTGTTGAAAGATGGCGATGAGCCTGTTAATAAGCTGATGGAAGGTAGCCAGGGGCATCGAGCCCTGGTAAACACTCCAATGGTGTCTATTTAACACCCCTAGAGTTTCTATTGGACACAGATGAGATGTTGATACCAGTGTGGGATCTCTTACAAGCCATGTCACATCATATAGCCTCATGTAAACAAAAAGATGGCATATCAACATGTACATTATAAATTGCAGCCATTTCGACTTTTAAGATAAACACCCATGCGCCATATATGTTTCATACAAATGCCCCTCCCTTGAAAAACAAGGATATACCAGACCCTCACTTCATCCATCTCAGTTATTACCAATCTCCTCTTCCTGGTCTTCCCACTCGCCATCCTCTTCCTTCTGCTCGTTGACCTTGAACTCGGCATCACCAGCCAAGCCTTCGCTGTCAAACTGATCCACATCCATATCGCTGTAGTACTCGTAGTCATCCTCGTCATCCTCCTCCTCCTCGTCGCCATTGCCCTTTCCGCCCTTCTGAGATGCCTTCTGCGCCTCCTTGGCCGCCTTCTTCTTCTCCACATTGGCCTTTTGCTCACGGCGTCGAGCCTCCTTCTCCTGCGTTCGCTTCTCCCATCGCTTCTCCAGCTCCTTGATCTCGCCAGCCGACTTGTGGATGTACTCGTGCCACATGACTTTGCCCGAGCACATTCCCTCCTCGACCTTGGTTAACCGCAGTCGCATGCGAGGTCCGAGCTCGACGAGCTTGACCACGTGCTTTTCTACGTTTGCTTCTTCCAGCTCCTCATCTTGGCCATTCTCTGCTGCGGCAGCTCGGGCTTTGGCAGACAGGACCTTTCGAGACGCTGTATCCTGGACTTCAACTTCGGCATCCGTGTCAACTTCACTTCCGCTCGTCACATCGGAGACATATCCATCGCCACCCTCGCCAATCATGTAATCTGCGATATCTTCGAGCTTGCCTAAGTTGGGCATGTGACTGCGTCGGCTGGTCTTGGTGTTGAGGAATTGCTCAGCCGCGTTAATTCGACGCAACTGCTTTGAGACTCCTGACCGTCTAGTAGTGATGGCATAGTGTCTAAAGTTGAGAATAAAGGTACCGTCGTCCTCCTTCGACGGCTCTCGGTTCAGGAGTAGCACTCTGCGAATCGACTTGATCGGTGTGGTTTGGGGGTTAATCGGGGGAAACATGGATGAGAAGACGGTGGTGGCTAATGACTCGAGATGCTTGGGGACCTTTGATTTGGCAGTTGAGCCGGGTCGAGAGAATCCATTCATGACCAGCTAATAATCATTAGTATGCAGCTCAGATTTGGGTTCAGTGGAGTGGTGTCCTTACCAGAGGAGCAGCGAGAAACTCCTTGCCCATGCCCTTGGGATGTCTCTGAATTTTCTGGATATCCTTGCACAGTGAATACTTCTCGACTCGAAAGTTCAGCGTAGGTCCTCGAGGCGCCAGCGCAACTCTCATGTTGGTGTTGCCTCCCTCGGATCGCGAAAACAGCATCAAATGCGTCACTCCAAGAGGACCGCACATGACAACGTAGTCTTTCAATCGGTTTCCCCTCCGCTCTTTCAGCCTGCTAGCAGTGCCAGGCTCCATGACTTTCCGCACATCTGCTGCGAGCTGGCTGATGCTTGAGCCAACTTCTCCGGCGCCGATTCTGATGACCATGCTCTTGGGATCACGGGCCGAGGCATGTCCGGCTGAGTTGGGCTGCGGGTTGTTTGCGCCCATGTGGGTGCGCTTCTTGACTCTTCGTTTCGCCATGGCTGATTGATTTGTAGGTGATGAGGAATTGCTTTGTTGCAAGACGGACGTCCAATGGATTATACCAGCCAGCACAAGAGGAAAAAAAAGTTTAGCCAAGGCCAGGCGATAAGAGCTTATCGCAGCGATGGCGCCCCACCAACTTTTTCTCAAGCAACCCACTTATGCACATAAGCAGCTCTTTAGAGGAGAAAGATTGTTCCGCAGATTCTCTGTAATAGCATTAGGCGGCGTTTTACATACTTTAAACAAATAGATGCAACAATTGAACACCTTGGTGATAGTGAAACGCCGCCATTTCGAAATCCCCTTTTCCCGCACAAAACCTGATATAGACGTAATTGTTCAAAACCCCTGCACACAATCCACTCCAACATCGACCTTCGACCGGGGTTCATCGCACTGCGTCCTGATTTGCTGCTGCAAAGTTGACCCAAAAAAAAAGTTACTGGGCAAGGCTTCATTGTTCGTTTCTACGTTCAGCAAATTCAAAAGGCAAAACATTCGAGCAACAATGAGCGGCGCAAAAAGGCAAAAGATTGCGCACGATGCGCCGGCAAAGCGCCAACAGGCAGAAGCCAGCACCTCCAAGGCATCTCCGGATCCTCCCACTGAAGAAGAATCGGCGACTCTCGATGTTGCTTCCTCTGGTGATGCTGCAGATGCACCGGAAGAGCCCAAGACGTTCAAAGAGCTGGTACGAGGCAAAGATGTGGTGGATTGAATGTTGCAATAAAAAACACTCAAGACTAACAAGATTTGTTCCTTTCTCTAGGGTATTGTCGATTCATTATGCGAAGCCTGCGAGTCTCTAAACTACAAGCACCCCACGGCCATCCAAGCAAAGTCCATCCCCGTTGCCCTCCAAGGCCGCGATGTCATTGGCCTCGCCGAGACTGGTAGCGGAAAGACTGCCGCGTTTGCTCTGCCGATATTGCAGGCACTCCTCGAGAAGCCCCAGCCGTTATTCGGACTCGTCCTTGCCCCCACTCGAGAACTTGCCGCCCAGATCGGACAGTCGTTTGAAGCTTTGGGAGCCCTCATCTCGCTGAGATGTGCCGTTATTGTCGGAGGTCTGGACATGGTTCCCCAAGCCATTGCCCTCGGAAAGAAGCCTCATATCATCGTTGCCACGCCCGGTAGATTGGTGGACCACTTGGAAAAGACAAAGGGCTTCTCTCTGCGGTCCCTCAAGTACCTGGTCATGGACGAAGCCGATCGTCTGCTGGACATGGACTTTGGTCCCAGTATCGACAAGATCCTCAAGTTTATCCCCCGTGAGCGCCGCACATATCTCTTCTCCGCAACTCTAAGCTCCAAGGTCGAGAGTCTCCAGAGAGCCAGTTTGCGGGACCCTGTCCGTGTGAGCGTCAGCTCAAGCAAATACCAGACTGTGTCGACCTTGCTGCAGCACTACATCTTTGTGCCTCATAAGCGGAAGGACACATATCTCATCTACCTAGTCAATGAGTTTGCTGGAAAGTCCATCATCATCTTCACACGCACAGTCTTTGAAACACAGAGAATAGCCATCCTGCTGCGAACTCTTGGCTTCGGCGCCATCCCACTTCACGGACAGCTATCCCAGTCATCTCGTCTCGGTGCCCTGAATAAATTCAAGGGAGGATCCCGCGAAATCCTCGTAGCCACCGATGTCGCTGCTCGTGGTCTGGATATCCCCGCCGTCGACGTGGTGCTCAACTTGGATCTGCCCCAGGACTCCAAGACATACATCCATCGTGTCGGTCGAACAGCCCGTGCCGGTAAATCCGGTATCGCCATCAGCATCGTCACGCAGTACGATGTCGAGATTTATCAGCGCATCGAGGCTGCGCTAGGCAAGCAGCTGGAAACTTACCCGACGGAAAAGGAAGAAGTCATGGCTTTCCAGAGCAGAGTCGAGGAGGCCCAGAGGGAAACTAGGGTGGAGATGAAGTCCTTCCTTGAAAGCAGGGAAAAGAAGGGTAAAGGAAAAGGAAAGACGGCTGGACCCAAGAGGAGAAGAGACAATATGGATCAGGAGGAGGGTTAAAAATTCCGCTTTTAGAAGAGAGAAGTGGGAAAAGAAAGGAAGATATGAGAAAAGTTTTTGTGGAACAATGGTGTTTAAAAGGCAAACAGAACGGGTGTTATAAGGTGCATTTATCTGATTAGTGTCAACTTTTGGAGACGGAGTGTTTCGTATTTTCTCAATTTACTTGATCATTCTATCATACCGTCAATGTTGAAAGATGAAAGTGAAATTGTAGATTCTGCTCCACCGAATCAAACACAAACAGCATCACCATCTTCAATAAATTACGACATGCAGCAGACACAAGAATCCATGTTTTATTAAGTACGCCAGAATAGTCCAAGTCAAGAAAGACGCATCCTGAACCATACCAAATCCCTTCCAGCTACCCAACCCAATAGCAAATATAGCAACCCCCCCCTCCTCTGCCGCCCAAAAAAAGATATCAAAATTCACTGCGAAGAACAAGTCTACGTTCCCATATCTACAGATTCATCGTGATCTGCCGGCGTTTGTGGTTCCGCCATCTCGGTATCCTCTTCATGGCCTTCCTCTTCCTCTTCCTCTTCTTCCTCTTCGCCATCTTCATGAATCTCCTTGCTGTGGTCACCTTCCTCGTGTTCCTCCTCGCCCTCCTCAGCTTCTTCGGCTTCGTCATCTCCGTGCTCTTCGTCGTCTTCATCATCTTCCTCCTCGTCCTCTTCTTCGTCGCCTTCGCTTTCGCTATCAGCGTCTTCACCACTAGTTTCGCCGCTTTGAATAGTCCGTCCCAGGTGCGGGAACATCAAGCTCGGTGGGACGTCCTCTTCATAGTCATCCGGAACATCGCTCAGGTCGCTTTCCTCAGCGGAATCGTCAAGACTATGCGCGTCATCACTCTCAAGCTCTTCTTCCTTGTCCTCCAACTTGGAGTCGTCATGGCCATCATGGCCATCCTCCTCGTATGCATGCGTGTCTGGCATATCAGTATCCTCCCCAGCTTCTCTTCTAACTTGTGCGTCTGGTCCTTCTTCCTCGTCGCTGTCGGCATCACTAGCACCCGCGTTTGGCGTCTGGCTTTCGCGTTTAGCACTCGACATACTTCCAACACGGCTTCTCGGCAGAGCCAACTTTGGAGTTTCCAGAGACCGAGTAACAGCTTGTTCCGCTTTCCGAAGGACGTCCGGCCTACGAACTCCCGTTTTCCGAGTCCGCGGTGCTGCTTCGGACTTTTCTCCTTCCAACGGCGTCGCAGTGCCGGGAAGGCTATCATGAGTGCTTGGAGGATTGAGTATGTTGCTGAGAGAACTGGTTGGCTTGGAATCAGCCTGGGCCTGGGCCGCAGCCGCCGCCTCAAGCTTGGCAGCAATCTCTTTGGCCTGATTGCGCTCTTCGATAATCTTGCTTGGCTCCTGTCCTGGCAACGTTGCAGCCACATCGACATAAATCTTTGAGTAACAATCATTAATCAAGTCGTCGATCCCGGCGACCTTCATCAAATTAGCATTAAGCTTCTTCAATTCGATGGCCTCCTTCATGCAGTTAAAGGCTGGAATGTTTGCCTCGTCACGAGCAGCCCACTCAGTGATCCTCTCGCTGATGATTTCAAACTCCTCAGTAGACAGTGCCTTGAAAGCATCATCGGTGGGATGGGGGATATTGTATGTGTCTCTCAGCAGCTTCAGATAAGCCATGCAGCAGGACTGCCACAAGTCGACAAAGTGATAGAAATCTGCGCCCTTCTTCCGGAGACGACGAAGCAGCTGCTCCAGGTTTGTCTTGTCGGACATTATCACGAGGAGATTGGTCATGAATCGCACATATTGTTCGGTAAAGACATGGTGACGGCCTGGGCGCTCTGCGTCGCATTTCCATACATTCATCACCATCGTCTTGGTGAACATGTTTTCTCTCAAGATGGCAAAAGCAGCCTGTGCCGCCACCTTAATGTCACTGTTTTGTTCCATGCTACTCTCATCGAATAGAATCTTCGCATGACGTGCGACAATCCGGTGCTGCCAGTTAGACTTATCTTTCTCCTTGAGCTTCACGAGCGTCGGGATAATGTACTCTTCCCAGTCCTCGGGTTCTGAGAATGAAGCAAAGATATCATCCGGTTTGAATTGCACGCCAAAGGGTTGCTCCGACAAAAGTTCGGCTGCTTCTTTGGCAGGGAGATCCCCTCGCATCACAAGTTTGTGCACAATAGACACAATCTTGTAATGCGGCTCGAGTATTGGGTCGCTACTGCGGGACTTTCTCGCGTTGTTAGCCACATTGACGGCGTCTTTCAGCGCTTTCAGCACCGTTTGGACTCCAATCTTGGTGCCGCTATCGCTGCTGTCGAGCTCTTCCTCTGGTGTCTGGTACATCTTCCAATAACACTTGGCCAGCATATACGGATTCCTATTCCAGCAATTAGTATCGTCTCACGTCACATATAATCTGCCTGATACAACACTTACTTCCAGTTCCCAGGTTTGCGCTCTATGGCCATTCTGAAAAGCTTGGCAGCAAACTTCCATACTTTGTACTCCGTCATCTGCTCGTGTAGAATCCTCTTGAATGTCCCAGCGCCCATATTCTGGATAAAGAAACGCTCTTGATCGGAGTGCTGGAAGGGCTCCATAGCAAATGGTTCTCGACTTGAGGCATACAGACGCATTCCAAACTTGTGATACAAGTCATGTAGCGGATCTTCGTCATTGACTTCAATCTCCTGATACCTTGAATGCGACAGGGCCAACGTGTAGCAGTGAATTGCGTTCCTCTGAAATTTGACCAGTTCGGGTCGATCCTTGTTCATCTTGTCAGCAGTCCATAGCACTGCTTCGTCTAGATCGTAATCGAAGCATTCGGCCAGCCGGAACCACGACTCCCAACTATCTGAACTGAATTGTAGCTGTAGCCTCAGGAAGGTGGCTCCTATGCGAAGGTCGTCTGTTGCACCTGGTGTCTGGCGTCGGTTCAAATCAACGGCTTTGAACTTGGTCAGTGCTATCATTCCAAGCAAGAAAAACCAGCCGTGTTTTGCCAGCGCAGCTTCCGGTGTATTTGTCGAAACAGCATCTACCGATACCTCTCCGAATAACGCTTGATACAGTCGAAGAGGATGGATGGGCTTTTTGACGAGTTCGGTAAAGTTGCGCAGGTTATGGATCATCTGGGGTGTAGACTTTGGTTGTCCAATAGTTTGTTGCATATGGTCAATGGCCGTCTTGAGATCCGACTTCAATAGGTCTTTCATTGGCATGCGATTTGCCAGGATCATAACCTTTTCCACCAGCTGCATCGTCTGACGCTTCTCGAGCTTCTCATGCGGACAGCCATGATCTTGAACCTCCCATACTCCAACGCCAAGTTTGAGTCCATAGAGGTCATAAACCACCTGCCCCAGGTAGTCCTCCCAGTTCTCAATATTCTTATTCTTAAGCAGTTCCATGCGCATCACTTTAAGGAAGATCTTGTTGGACGCCTTGCAGCACTTTCGAAGACCAATTACTTGATGAATGGCGGCGAGGAAGTCTGCCAGATCCTTTTCCGGAGCAATGGACTCTTGAAGAGGCAGTCCTGCCCTAAACATGGTGAACTGTAGACACCAGGTGCGGACCTGCATTTCTCGCAGTTTGGTGATGAGAGACTGGAATGTAGAGTTCGAAGACGGTGCCTTTTTGGCTCCGATCGTGACCTCGTCCTCGCACAAGAATGCAGTGTGAAGAATAGCATTCACTTTGGCAAGAGCACTGCAGCTTGACTTGAGGTGGTCGTCGTCGATGATGTCGAATGCAGAGGGGTCGTTCAAGGCCAATGTTAGTGCCTGAATCAGCAGTTCGTCGAGTGACTTCAAGGTCCTCATGTAAAGAAGCAGGCGAGACTCGTCAGGCAGCTTGGCGTACTTTTCATTCTCCAGATCCGCCACAATAAGCTCAATGCTTCTGAGGTGGCATGAGAACCTCTTGGTTGTATATTTTATGGCTTCGTATGCATCTCCAAGTCGTGACCACAGAAATAGCCTCAGCTCGGTGCTGCTGCTACGCAGAAATTTCCATAGGTCACGCATGCCTTGAGTTGCACAGTCCGATATGGACTGCTTGTTCTTCTGTGACTCTGAATCAGCCGAGGACGCGGCATCCGAGTCTGCCAAATCGTCCTGCTTCTCTACTGATATACAGACGGATGAAGGGTTAAGAACAGGCTCCAGGGTTTCAATAACGTGAACGGGGCTTTCCATCCCTTCTTGGAAAAGGCTGAGAAAGAAATCCATGGTGGTAAGTTTGGAAATCTCTCGATCTGCAGCCGCCGGCGAGATGGTTGGCATGACCACATTATTTGGTAGAGTCAGCGTGTCTACTTTCTCTTCCGACAGGAAATCACGAAGCGATGTCCACAAGAGGAGAATGTGCTCTCTAACTGGATTGTCCGAGAGCGATGACACCAAGACCGACGCCCACAAAAACCTGACGCATAGGGGGTCGGTTGGCGGGCGATTCATCAAGCGCATATATGCCGATGCTAAATCTAGCCATCGCTGAAGTCGATATTTGGTTTCCATGCGAGTTGCGTAATCAACAGCGCTGCTAGGGTTGGTGATTCGCTCGTAAATGTCAATGTAGAGCTCAAATACCATGGGGATTAAGGATTCAAGGTCAGCCAGTGCTTCGGGTGAAGAATACTGCAGCTCCTCCGAAACCAGCTTGTATAACGATGAGTCGGTCGTGTTCAGCATCTGGACCACCGCAGTCTTCATAGCATCTGACCACTTAAAGGAGGCATAACTGGAGCTTATTGTCTTCATCCACTCAAAAACAATATCGTCACTTGTCATATAGTCATGCCTCTCCTCCACTCTCTGAGCGAAATCTCTCAAACCTTTGGCTTCATCGAAAGGAACATTCACAGCTTGATCCTCGGATCCAGTCTTGGCATGCTCCAAGAAGGAAGAGAGCCCCAGAGTCGCTTGTTCTTTCTTGTTAAGAAAAACCATGGCAACGTCCTCTTTGAAATCGGCAATCAGCGTGCGCAAGTCTTTGGCTCCCACA